CAGACCTATTACTTACCCGACCCAAAAATTCAACCCGATCGGTTACTAACCCGACTTGAAATTAATACGACTTGTTGTTGACCCGACCTAAATTCTACCCAAATTATTCCCGACCCTGTTTCAAATCACCTTAAATGCAGTTTAGAACACCTTATTATTGTTGATTAAAGCATTTTGTCTAGGGAGACCAATTCTGTCTAGGCCAACAAAAGAAAGGAGCATTATCCTCAAATTTAATAGTTGAATATAGTATATATTTGTTGTATGGTCAAAGGAGATTATTATCTTCCTAAATTATAGACTATAGTTCCTTAGTATATTGTCATATATATTATAGTCAAAGGAAATAATTAGCTTGATAAAAATGATAATTATCTATTTATAGTTAGTTGAACCCGAATATGATCTGACTTAGAAATGCCTGACCTGATTGTAACCTACAAATTATTGACTTGAGCATAACCCGACTTGAATTCGAGAATGACCCGACTTGGAAATGACTCAACTTGATTATAACCCGCAAATTATTGGCTTGAACTGAACCCAACTTGAAACTAAGAATGACCTGACTTGAAAATGACCCGACCTGATTATAATCCGCAAATTAATGACTTGAACTGAACCCGACTCAAACCCGAGAATGACCCGACCTGATTCTAACCCGCAAATTATTATCTTGAACCGAACTCGACTCGTACCCGAGAATTACCCTAACCCGTTTTAACTTGTAAAAACCCGGTCGAATTAAACTTGACCCATTGTCCACCTGATCCGAATGTAACCCGACCTGTTATTAACCTCACCTAAACTCGACAAGAAGTATGACCCGACGTGACCCGACTCAAGCATGACCCAACCCAAACCCGACCCGCATAGGTTATGTAATTAATACGAATTGACCCGACCCGCATAGGTTTTGGAATTAATCCGAATTGTCTCGACCCGAGTTGACACGACCCAAACCCGACCCGTTTACTCGAATTGACAGCTCTATTTATAACCATGTAATATAATTTCATAAATAAGAATGTTATTTTTGGACTTTTCACGATGATTACTCTCTATCCCCTTAAAGTCTTAGCTTAATCCTCAAATTGTACATGTTTCATCATGAATAAGTTTTTAAAAAGAAAAGAAAAAAAAAATACTACCTCATATTTTTTTTAGTTGTAACTTTGGGGTATTATTTGATAGATATAAAATAATCATTCAAAGTTGCAACAAAAAAAAAAACGGAAGTAGTAGTACCATTAGATAACGATAGATATAGACGTATATGTGGTCGTACGTGTTAGAGATATGATATATCGGAAAATATATGTGAGAATTGAATTTGAGTTTACTCTCTTTTGAATTTGAGTTTGGTTTTACTCTAAAAGACCAATAAGATATTTGAGTGTGGTTGACTCTAAAAAAACCAATAAGAGATTTGAGGGTGGTTTACTCTGAAAGACCATTAAAAAATTTGAGTGTGGTTTACTCTAGAAAAACTAATATTTGATTGGAGCTCTGTTTTGCTCTGGAAAAACCAAAATTGTTATATTTGTAGGTTTGAAAAGAATGGCGTTCCTGCTTGATTAATGATTGATGAGTTCGAAAAGATGAACGTTCTCATCGTTGAAAAAGAAGAAACAAAAATTGAAGGCGACATCACAAGAGTGTGCATCTCGACTTCAACAAATTCAAGAATTTCCAATCGCAACGTTTGTGTCATTGCCGTTACAATTGCGGGAGAGTGTTAGAGATATGATATATCTATATTTTCCGTATAGATTTTGTTATGAGAATATTATATTTAGTATTATCTTATGTTAAGATATTATTTATTAGAGAATAATATATGATATATCTTTTAGGAATACTGTTTCTTATCTTATGTTCGTAGATTTTGTATAAATACTCTACCTATTGATGAATAATAAATAAGTCATTCTATTCTATTTCCTCTTTAATTTGTCAGTACGTTCATTATATATACAATTAATAATTTACTATGGTACTAGTGTACTATCATGGCTCCAATAATTAGCTTAAACTGCACACGCAACTACACAAGTATTGGACTACAACTCAATAAATGTGAATTCAAGGTCGTTAGTTTTACAAAGAAGGATCATATACGTTACATTTGATTTATACATGCATCTTTAAGATTATGCAAACAAAAATTAAAATGTGTTTCTAAGGTACTCCCGATTTGTCCTAATTTAATCCACTGCGTAATAAACTTTTTATAGAGCTTAATGCCATAAGTTGTAGGGGCACATTATCATCCACTGTGTTAACTTAGTTTTAATATGCTATTTTAATTTAATCATTGTAGAGTTTAATGAGGAAATGTGCGTGAGACCCTATGATATTATTACTTCCTTTGTCCCTTAAGTTATACTACCTCTGATTTTTATTATTCACAAATAATACTCCAAAGTTATAAATAATAAAAATCGGAGGTAGTATTAAAATTTTATAGGGATTTATCTTAGCTAACTCGAAAATGTACAATATAGATTTGAGTTTCCTTAGAGTCAATAGAGGATTTTTGTGGGTAACTTTAACATGAAGCTCTTCTTAAAGAAACTAGTGGCATCCACAAAATAATAAGGATATTTAGGGGTCTACTATGGTTGATAATAATAAATTTTACGCAAACAATATAATGCAAGTATGCAACTAGCTTCTACATTGATTGACGTCTAGCTATGTTGTTGTTCGTTGTAATAATGTATTAGTAACATCAACGTTGAATATTCTTGGATTTGCATCACAATTTGCACACAATAAAACAAAAAAATAAAAAATTATTGAATTTGCATTATTACATCTTGCGTATTTAATACTCCATCCGTCCCATAATATATTAATACGAAAATGACATGGAAGAAAGAGAGGATAAAGACATGAGGTAAAACATTTCTATATATGCTCTAACTAACTTTGTACGACAATCGAAAGAAAGCTTTAATAACATCCCAAACTCCATGAAGTTCTAAGAAACTTTTCAAAGGCTTGAAAATTCTTGGCCTATAAATTTTTAAAATTTTTATTTTTATTTGTTTAATTATTTTTTTATTATTGATTTTTGTAATCTAGAATGAATAAGCATAATATATACGCACGAGTACTACGACACTATTATTTCTAGGAAATTCAAATACTTTGCTTAAAAAAATGGAGTTTCTTGTTATCTTCATGATATTTTTGTCCATTTTCTTCCTTTGCTACCTTTTTCGCAACAAAAATGGCATTCCTACTAATTGGCCTATAGTAGGGATGTTGTTTGCACTACTTGTAAACGTTCATCAAGTTCACGATTGGCTAACCGAATTGTTAGAGAAATTAGATATGAATTTCCTCTTTAAAGGTCCTTGGTTAGCCAACATGAAGATGTTTATTACACTAGATCCATCAAATGTTCACTACATTATGAGCAAGAACTTTACAAATTATCCTAAGGGAACCAAGTTTAATGAAATGTTCGACGTTTTTGGGGATGGCATCTTCAATGTAGACTCTGATTTGTGGAAGCTCCATAGGAAAATGGCGCATACTTTCATTGGCCACCCTAAGTTTCATCAGTTTTTGCAAGATAAAATTTGGGAGAAGGTAGAGAAAGGTCTAATTCCGCTCCTTGATCATGTATCTAAACAAGGGTTAGTAATCGATTTACAAGATTTGTTTTATAGATTTTCGCTTGATACTATATGTACTCTAGTTACAGGGTGTGATTTAGGATCTTTGTCTATCGATTGGCCTCATGTTCCATTTGCAAACGCGTTAGATGATGCTGAGGAGGTAATATTGTATCGACATTTTGTTCCTATGAGTGTATGGAAGTTTTGTAGGTGGCTTGGGGTAGGAAATGAGAAGAAGTACAAAAAAGCTTGGGAAATATTAGATGATTTTGTCTATAAATGCATTGCTAAAAAAAGAGAGGAGAAAAAACAAGAATTAATGAAGCCTCAAGTAGTTGGTGTTGATTTATTGACATTATACATGGATGAAAGCCAAAGTATAAACGTTACAAGTGCTAGTGACAAGTTTTTAAGAGACACTATACTAAGTTTTTTCATAGCAGGACGTGACACAACTAGTACTGCTTTATCATGGTTCTTTTATCTCCTCTCTAAGAACTCGCGAGTAGAATCCAAGATCCGAGATGAATTAAGCACAATGGAGACGGTCCATGATTACCACAACTTAATTTATGTTCATGGTGCATTATGTGAGGCCTTAAGATTGTACCCTCCTGTGGCTTTTGAACAAAAGGCCTCAATTGAGTCGGATGTACTTCCAAGTGGCCACCAAGTTGATCCGAATATGCAAATTATATTCAACATGTACGCAATGGGAAGGATGAAGGCGATATGGGGAGAGGATTGTTACGAGTTTAAGCCAGAGGGATGGATATCTGAGCGACGGAACATTCGACATGAACCATCCTACAAGTTCTTAGCCTTTAATGCAGGGCCAAGAACTTGCCTAGGAAAAAACATGTCTTTCTTCCAAATGAAGGCCGTTGTTGCTACAATACTTAGAAACTACACGTTCCAAGCAGTCGAAGGACATCAAGTTGTTCCCGATATCTCTTTGATTCTTCGTATGAAGCATGGATTCATGGTTAAGGTTTATCGTTATTAGGTGTATGTATGATTTCTCTTAATTATATGGTGTATTAGTCGTCTTACTGTGCTTTAGGTGTAAGTTTAGATCATTATTATGATGATTTCCTTAAATAATTGGTGTTTGTAAGATAAGGTAAGGTAAGGTATGTTGAGTTGCTTTTATGTATGTGGCTTTGTTATTCATGTAGTCTTATGCCTAGCTAGGTGTTTACGCATTTGCGTGCCAGAGATGTGGATGTATGATAAAAGAACTCTCGTTCATTTATGTATAAAATGTTTTATCAATGTTAAATGACATGCTCAGCTCGATACAAGTAAGACGAGCTGAATAATAATAAATAAAAAATTATTAAAAGTTATAGGGTCTAATTAAAAGTAAATGAACTTTTATTTACATCCTTATTTAAAAATAAAAAATAACACTTTTGTTTACATCCATTCACCTTAAAAGACAAACTACATTTAAGCCAAGGATACCACGTACAACTAACAAAAAAATATGATCCAATCATATCTAAGATCTACAAAGAATAAATCAAATTACTAAGCAATTTTTTAGTTACCTTATGAAAAACAATGAATAAAATTCAAATTACTTCTGTTTTTGTTTTACTATTACTTTCTCATCCTATTACTTTATCAAAAGCGTTTGACGTTTCTGAAGGAAATGGTGTAAATTCTATTGTAACATCTCTTCTTATTAGTTCTTGGGATAAGGTTAAATACCTTTTGCAGGAGGTGCAAAACAAATATTTACCTCCCAATTTGGAGTAAGTTCTTTTTGTTTTTATTTGAATTAATCACAATAAGTATATAATAAGAGTAAATTGTCAAATGCATAATTTTTTTTGTTTAAATATACATTTTTGACGTTCTTGGTTGAAATTTTACTTGTATGTTTATGTGCATGCAACAATTTTGGATCAAACAAAATTAAATTAAGTTTTCATCAACCCTTGTTCAATTAATAAATTACATATTAGGTATTTTTTGGCGATACAAGATGGTCTAGCAACGAAATATATATTGTGTTTAATGCGTCTCATAAACACACACTTTCTATCTCAAATACTTGTTTATGGATTATTTTCTCATCATTTCAATGAAGAAATTTAACTAATTAATAACATACTTTGCACAACATGAGATTTTTATTTTTTTAAAATATGAGTAGGTGCATATCAAATTCTTGGATTAATATAAGAAATTTCACTAGGAAACACTTTAAAACAATATCAAAGACTATCAAAACAAATAATCGATCAATTTTTTTTTTTTTTACAATTATCTTAACAAATAGGATGGACTAATTAATATATTATTGATATTATGTTGTTAATTAGTTTCAGGATCCAAGAGAAAGATGGAGCTGATGAATTTGAAAGCCACGATTCGAGCAAACGAATAAGAACGGCAGCAAAGAAGAGTTTCAAAGAAGGGGAAGCAACCCTGGAAAAAACAGCTGAATCCGCAGCCACGGTAATGGATCATGCAATGCACAAGGCAAAGGATAAGGTGGAAAACAAATTTTCTCATCATAGACATGGAAGAGAAGCTGATGATGAACTATAAATTCATAATCAATTTAATTTAATTAATTTTCTAGCTATAATCTTATTAATTTCTTTTCCATGCATTGTTTTTACCATAACATTATGTATGTAACACCAAGAATTTCACATATCTACTAATATTACGTACTCCATTGGTGAATTAAGCTTCCACAATTTAACAATTATAATTTTATCATTGTGCATTAATGTTGCAATTACTACTAAAAAGAAATAAATAAATTATAATTTCTTATCTAAAGAAACGTTTTTACTAGAGATATATAGGCCAAATTAGATTAAATTTGATTTTGCTTCAAAAAAAAAAAAAAGGGTTTAATTTGATTTTAAAATTTTATTTTATTTAAAAAAAAAATTCAAAATTTGGAATCATTTTTGGATATTTTCTGTTATACTTGAAACTTTATCCTTCGTATTTTGAAAAAGTCCTACCCTAATTTTATATCCCATAATATTTTCCTAGTTTGTTATACACAATATAATTTATCTTCTGAATTCGGATATAATTTATCTTTTAATATCTTTTCTAAAACAAAAAATTTCAGAAAAAAAAAATATCCAAATCTTTTTCAGTTACTCTCTAAGAAACATAAACCAAGATTATCTTAGATTATAAGTCAAGGTTAAAAACCTAATAACCTACTCCTTTATAAACTAAGATCCAAAGCTAACTTTCTCTTGGAAAAAACTTAACTGCTCTTCTAAACTAAATAACCCTAAATTTTCTCATCAATTTTTCTCTCTTTGAAACACAAATTTCATTACCCTTTACCTTCATGGATTGCAAACCCACAAAAAATCAATCAGATTCATCCAAAATCACTCGTTTCAAGCCATTGTCTTCTGTTTTCTTCCCTGTTCATTGATAAACAGTTGATCATTGTTTGATACATTCTTTAAAAGAACTCAGGAAAGAATTAATTTTGTTAGTACAGTGAAATCATGGGTTCGAGTTCAGGGGTAGACAATGTCGATGAGCTTGAGGTCGAGGATGAGGGTGTTGAGACGGATTCGACAGGGCGGTATGTAAGGTTCGAGGAGGTATTGGGAGAAGGGGTGTTCAAGAAGGAATACAAGGGGTTTGATGAGTTGAAAGGAATAGAGATTACTTGGAGTAAAGTTGAGTTATCGGAGAACGTATTCGACTCAGAGGAATGTCAGAGGAATGTGAGAGCAGAAGTTAAGCTGTTGAAGTCTTTGAAGCATGAGAACATCATGTGGTGTTACCATTCGTGGGTCGATAGCGAAACAAAGACAGTTAACATAATTACTGAATTGTCTACCTCTGGAACTATGAGTCAGTATCGCAAGAAACATAATCTTGTTGATAAGAAGGCAATTAAGAATTGGGCAAGACAGATTCTGAAAGGATTAGATTACCTGCACTGTCAGAATCCTCCAATTATTCACGGAGATCTTAACTGTGATAACATCTTTGTGAATGGATACTCTGGCAAGGTTAGAATCGGAGATGTTGGACTTGCGGCAATGCTTCAAGAAGACACTACAGTTCGCGCTGTTAGTGGTAAGCCTGAGTTCATGGCACCAGAGCTTTTCGGAGAGGAGTATGATCACCTGGTGGATATCTATTCTTTTGGGATGTGTTTGTTGCAGATGGTTACCCGGGAATTGCCGTATGCTGAGTGCAGTAACTCAGAGCAGGTTTATAAGAAGGTGAGATCTGGTATCAAGCCTGCTATTCTAGACAGAGTGACAGACCTGCAGTTAAAGCAGTTCATTGAGAAGTGTTTGGGTCCTGCATCAGAGAGACCGTCAGCAATTGACCTTCTGAATGATCCGTTTCTTGCAGTGATGACTGATTCTGGATTGTCTGCAGCATCTAGAACTCCGAGTCAATCTGAATCTGCGTGTTCATCTTCTGTAGTAACATGGGATCAAGTGCCTAGTCCACCTGATTCATCATCTTATAAATCATGTGATCATGTGGCTAGCTCACCTGTTGTTTCTCTTGTTGGCCCATTGACGGCTGTTGTCAGTGAGAATATCGAGTTCAAGTTAGATGGGCAGCTGATCAAGGAGATTGACTACATATCAATGGTTCTTCGGATTGGTGATAAGAGAGGTCATGCTCATAAGATCGAGTTTGTGTTCTCTATAAAAAAGGATACAGTTCACTTGGTTATGCAAGAGATGATTAAGGAGCTCCAGTTGTCAGTCAGAGAAGCAGTCCTTGTAACTGAGCTTATGGAAAATCTGGTTAAGAAACTTGTAAACCCAGAGGCAGAATCTTCAACATCAGAAAGTAATGTCAGCAAACCCAACGAGCCTGCAAAACCGCCTAGTGACACAAACCAGGACGCCCAATTACTTGCATCCAAGAAACCAAGTGAACATGATCATGCTGGTGAATCACGGATAGCTAATTCAACTGGTCAAGACAAACAAGTTACAGATAGTAGAGTAGGCAACAAAAAAGTGGTAGCCAAGACAAGTTCGAGATCGTTGAAGAAGCTATTATTCTTTTGTGGGAGCAAATTTTAGATTTAGATTGAATTTTCAGTGTAGTAGAAGTTATGTACACTTCACCAATTAAGTAATATGATTCAATTTTAATCAAAGCCTGTTATGACTATCATTTTTTTTTCTTTAAGTATTTTTTTGAGGTATCTATCATGATACTAGTATAAAAAAAAAAAATACTCTATATTAATTATAGAAAAGAATTCAATCTGTACCAATACTGCCGAACAGTAAATTACTAACCAATTTTAACAGAGAATATTATCTATAAAATCATTCAAAAAATTAAGCAAAAAGTGCAAACTTGAATAAGCAGTAAGCTAAATATTTTTCAAATATTAACAGCAATTCCTGCTTCTACCAATTTCAGCACACTAAACAACCAACTTAACCTTTCAGAAACAAAATCCAATGGTTCCTATGGCCTAGGATGCACGAGATGCAGAGAGTTTAAGACATTCACTTTGACATCTTCGAAGACAAACATCATTCCAGTTTGGAACATGATGCTGATTGACACAAACAGTTCTTGCACAAGCATCAGTGCATGCATCGAGTTCTGAGACTCCGCAGACAGTAACACAAGTATCAGGGATTGGATCCTTAGAGAAAGCACCAACCTTCTTCAACATACGTTTTGAGGTGCAAACCCTTTCACAAACGAATATGTCATCTGAGCTCTTTTCCCGGCCCCTTGCACTCTTAATCCTCTGCTCCTCATCCCGCTTTCTCTTAATTCTCCAGGCTTGCCCTGCAACAACAGCTGGAATAGCAGCACCCAAAAGAGACCACCAAACTTCCACCATGGTATTGAGATAATTGAGCTTTTTCTTTGTTTATTCCTCAACTCTTGCACTAGGCTTTAAGCTGCATTTCACAAAAGATAAACATTAGCAACAAATAACCAACCAAGTTCAGAAGTCGATCATAATGGTATTCAAGAGAAATCTTCATAGATCACGCACAAAAAAAGTTGGACCAGAAAACATGCATACAGTAGGGCATCATGATTACTTCAAGATATAAGATATAAGAGCAGTAGGGAACAAAAAAAGTTGGACAAAAAATGGAGTCTTTGAAAGAACAGTAGTATGACGCAATTGCTTGACAACTATGACAAGTATCTTTGTAGTGCTTGCAAAAAAAAAAAAAAAAAAACCAACAAAAAACCAAAAAAAAACAAACTGAATAGATTATGGCTTTACATATCACGAATTTTCTTCTTTCGACAATAACCCATTCAGCTAGAACTATTGATAATTTGACAGTCCATAGCTCCAATACTCCCTCAACTCCTCAAGGCAATGAAGTATATCAGTCTAGACAAATTTGATACATCAGGACTAAGAATAAAGTTTTAAGAAAAATGAACAACAGCAAATCCAGCATGAATCATTATATCAATTCTTGCAACAAAATTAATAAGATCCAACAAAAAACCAATCAAGTGTGGATGTATTATGCTAAATGTAGCAATTTCCCAGCAATTATAATCACACAGCAATGCCATTTCAGCCTTTTGGGCATACCACTCACTAACCCCACCATATTAAGACTTTGAAGGTCCAATGTGACTTTAAAGAATTAAAACCATAACCACTAACATCAATAAACACACTCTACAATTATCTATGTGACAAAAAGCAATATTAATAAAAGCTATAACAAGAACTCAATCTTGAGTTTTACCCAGTAATCCAGTAGACCAATATAGAACCTGTGCAACCTTGAAATAACATAATTTACCCCAACATCCCCAAAGTGCCTTGCACTTGCTGAGACAAAGATTCCAATCATACCCTTGACTGAAAAGGCATTCATAACATGCTATCTTATGACTAAAAACAGAAGCATAGTGAATTGTAGATAACAACTAATTTAGTTCATACACTTCATAGTAACCCTACACTGAAAATTGCCCACAGGTTGCTCCTTCAATTAATTTGACATGAAAATGATGAAAACTTCAGTGGTTTGGCAATCCTGCAGTTCCCCTTAGTAATAACAAAAGAACAATCATTATATGATTCAATGATTGTACCAGAATATGCCAACCGCAACTCAAATCTATACTTAGATTCAGAATCTTCTCACAACACTTGCAAAAGAACACATTTCAAGAGCATGACTGATCTCATGTTCTGCCACAAAATCACACAATGTATTCATCAATTCAGGATACTATATCACTAAATTACTACAATTATTCAACAAATATTTCCCTGTAATACCTGTAATAGGCTATAGAGTAGTGATCAGTAATATCCAAAATTCCTCCAACCAAAATCAACTGTCGGCTAATCACTCAAACAATTAACCAAAGTTTAAACCCAATATTTACCCTAAAGCCACAAAAAAACTGAACAAAACTTGGGGTGTGAGACATCTATAAATCAACAACTCCCAGCCTTGAGACTCTGCCCCCATTTTGTACTTGCTAAGGAATCATTTCAGTATTGGAGTCATCATTTAACTTGCTGCCAAAAGAAAAATTCCTAATACAAAGTCCTAGGGAAGCCGTCACCTTATCCATGTATATACAAAACCATACAATGGTTTCAAACTTTCAATAATATCCTATGCACAAAGAACACTGCATTGATACTATAAATTCAGCACAATAAGATATCACAATGTCCTCGGTAAAATTGGACGGCATCTTCATAAGACCTTTGGCTAAAGTTTCTCATTGATCACAAACCATGAACTTTATATTATACAGTGTAATCAAAGTAAATCAATTCTAAATTAAGTTTTCTAATGCACATAACCTTATAGAAGAATAAGGCCATACTACCATCGAAAATATGATAAACACTATTCACCAAAATTCTTCAACAACTTGAAAATCAACTAACAGAGGCAAAATTATTCAATAAAACTTCAAAAAATCAAGGTTACATCAATGGCATTAAACTCAATTATGCTTATAAACTCAAATGCACTGTTCTATCTTCAATTTATCAAACGAGGAAAATTGAAAGCGATGCCCAGCCTACATTATCATACAATAAAACACTGCAATTTCGAAGAATCACCCAAATTGAGGAAACCTAATTACACAAGCACCTAACAACCATCTTCTTCCTCGGAAAACACCCAAACTTACTTAAATTAAAGCCAAATTCCAGAAATATATAACAAAGAATTAAAACCCTAGAAATTCATAAAGAAATTCGGAAACAGCGTTGTAATTCAGCTTGAATTGGAAGAGGATAAGGAGATAGAAGAGAGAGATATACCAGGGCAATAACAAAATGATGGTTTTAGCAGCGGAGAAGGAGATATCGCCGGAAATGTTTGCAGACGTCGGCGATGGCGGCGGCGGAGAAGGCCGTTGGTGGAGGAGGAGAGAGAGAGAGAGAAAAAGAGAGAGTTGTTAGTGGAAATGGAAGCGGCGTTTTAATTTTTAAGTCATCATCAAAGATACCAAGTTATACTACTCCACAGTATTTTATATATATATACTTCTTCCGAATCGTATTATATGCAACTCTGGGCTAAATAAAAATACTACGATTACGAATTGGAGGTAATACTGCATTTTGCTAAATGAAGGTAGAGGAGTTTAATTTTTCAAACATAGACCTTAATTCTTACGTGGTTAATTGACATTATTTAGCGTGGTTAATTGACATTATTTGACGATAGCTTAGGGCTTATTGTGAGGAATCAAACTCAAATACCTCATCTTAAAATAACTTGATTAACTTCAAAATGTAACAAAATTAGAAAATCTTGTGATGAAAATAATTGATTGACGAACTTAACTTCGAAATGTACCAAAATTAGAAAACCCCGTGATGAAAATAATTGATTGACTAACTAATACGAGTAGTTATAAATTCAAATTTGACTGAACTTGAACTCGAACTCAAAATCAAGTGTTTGAATTAAGTCATTTGGATCGGTTCACGTCGAATCATATTCCGTTTTGTTGCCAATATGGTTATTTATTTTGATCAAATATGTGTCAATTCGGATTTGGTTGGGTTGGTTTAAAATCAAGTCAAAATTAAACCAAGTCATATCAAGAATAATCCAGGTTTTAGTATGTGTATCAAGGGTTGGGTGATTGAGTTTGCGTCAATTTTACCAAGAATAGCTAAATCGAATAACCAAAAACTAATTATTGAGTTTGAAATTACAATTAATTGTATCTTGTTATTGTAGGGGTAGGCAAAGTGCTAGAAGCCTAGAACATTTTAAACTTTGTCTTTTTATCGGGCATTCAACTCAGAGTAGCACTTGAACTCGAGAGGGTTTTAAAAGGGAGACTGTGTGCATGGAATTAATCATACATATATTATATATATCATGCCTCCTAGATTGGAATTTTTGCAAAATATTTTTATATATCTTACAATTTTTTATTTTTTATTTTTTACAGTATTTATTTACTTTGGCCTAAAGAGTAAGAAAGCCTAATACTTTATTTATGAGTTTGTAATATGTAAATGCCAACAAAAATTAATGGATAACATACTTGTAAAAACAAGTAAAACAATATAATACATGAAAGGAAATCAACCACCAACAGTAGTTTCCTACCCTTGACAAACAATGATCAAGCTCATCTCCTTCTATATTAAACAAAATTATTTGGAAATCCTGATAAGCTTCAATTCTGACATAGAAATATGATGAATAACAAATCAACATACACACTACTACAAATACAATCGCAGAGCTGGGCACTGCGTGCTAAGATTACGCGAAAATGCAGAATCAGGAATACTATTACAGGTAGAAACGACGTTTACAAGGAGGGAGCGGAGCACCACACAGGCCAGGATTACCCGAAAATGCAGAAGCCGGAAAGCTTGTGTTGTGTTGAGGTGTTCTTCCACTCAGTTGATTATTTGAGACATTAAACACTTGCAAGAACTCCAAATTCAAAACCTCCTTCGGAATACTTCCTGAAAGTCTATTACTTGACATCTCTAACACTTCCAGGCTTATCAGGTTCCCAAACGATTTTGGTATGGTTCCTTCTAGTGGGTTCTTGGACAGTTTCAAGGAAAGTATGCGAGCAATTGCCGGCTTATTACCTATGTCTTCATCAAGCGGACCTGTAAACATATTGCTAGACACGTCGAGGTAGAAGTATTTGTCTGCTCTATTAAAAATTTCTCCTAAATAACCAGAGAAGTTGTTTGAGTGAAGATCAAGGGTTCGAGAGGATAGGAAGATTTGTGACCTCCTTCGGAATTGTGGAGTAAAATCTGTTACTGGATAAGTTAAGATACTCTAGAAAATTCATATTCCCTATCCATGATGGCAACTCCCCTGTGATTTCGTTACCTGATAAATCGAGGTGACTAAGATATATGGGGGTAGAAATTGATTGTGGCAACTCCCCTTTGATCCCTGCCTCAGCTGAGTAGGTAGAGGGCCAATGAGATGATTATTAGACAGTTGCAGAGATGTTAGTCTGAGATTGCCAAAACTTAAAGGTATTTGACCGAGAAACCGGTTATTAGAGAACAAGATATCATACAATGCAGTTAGATGCCCCATACTTGGTGGCAACTTTCCTGTAATCATATTGTTCTCTAACACAATTCTTTGAATCTTGGTAAGATTGCCTATGCAATAAGGTAACATACCGGTCAATTTATTGTAACTGAAATTTAAAACCTCTAATGAAATAAGGTCACATATGGAAGAAGGAATAGGTCCTGTGAGTTTATTATGGTCAAGGTATATATTCCGCAATTTGGAGAGTAGACCTACAGATTTTGGTATGATTCCAGCAATTTGGTTATGGTCCAGATGTAAATCTTGCAACACAGAGAGTTTACCTACAGATTTTGGTATAATTCCAGTAATCCTGTTATGGTCCAAATGTAAATCCTGCAACTCAGGGAGTTCAACTATAGAATTTGGTATGGGTCCAGTGAGTTTGTTGTGGTTGAGAAATAATGCTTGTAATTTGAAGAGTTTACTACCTATGGAATCTGGTATGCTTCCGGTTATACGATTGTATGACAAATCTATGTAGGTAAGGTTTTTTAGTGTACGAATATCGAGTGGGATCGAACCAGAGAGATTATTTCTTGTAAGATAAATCTTGTCAAGTGAAACCAGATTAGAAATCGAAGATGGTATTGAACCTGAAAATTGTTGAATAATTTTGAGAATTGGAGACATAATTCATGTTAATTAATTATATTACTTAGGCAAAGGTGTTGTGTATAATTAATAAAGAATATTATAAGTTTTTGTTCGTGGTATATCGATTCGGGAGCATCGAGGCATGTGTGCAATGATAGATCATTGTTCAAGACCTTCTTGGAGGTTGATGATGGAGAAATTCTCTATATGGGCAATGACTCTACAGCTAAGGTGCTTGGCAAAGGACAAGTGGAGCTAGTCTTTAGTTCGGGAAAATATCTTATTTTAAGAGATGTGTTGTATTCTCCCGAACTTAGGAGGAATCTTGTATCCGGTGCAATCTTGAATCGATTAGGTTTTAAGATGGTGTTTGAGTCAGATAAATTTATTTTGTCTAAAGGAGGTCAATTTGTAGGACTTGGTTATTTGTGTAATGGTATGTTTAAATTAAGTATTTCAAATACTTTGAATGATGTTGTGTATGTTGTTAATGATAATTCTTCTCTATGGCATTTGCGACTTGGTCATGTTAATTATAAAAAGTTATATTTTATGTCAAAGCATGATATGATACATGTTTTTGATCCAAGAATAGAGAAGTGTAGAACATGCATGTTAACCAAAATCACAAGGAAACCATTTCCTCAAGTTGTTGAGAAAAATAATTCATTGCTTGAATTAGTGCATAGTGACTTGTGTGATTTTCACAACACACCTTCTTTAGGGAATAAGAAATATTTGGTAACTTTTATTGATGATTATTCAAGGTTTTGTTACATTTATTTGTTATTCTCTAAAGATGAAGCCCTTGATAAATTTAAAATTTACAAAAGTGAAGTAGAATTGCAAACCAATGAAAAGATTAAAAAGCTAAGAACTGATAAAGGAGGTGAATACTATGACCCAAGTTATTTCCAATCTTTAGGTTTAGTACATGAAACTACCGCAACATATACACCACAACAAAATGGTGTAGCGGAAAGGAAGAATAGGACACTAGAAGAAATGGTAAATTCTATGTTGTCATATTCAGGTTTAAGTGATGAATTTTGGGGTGAAGCCGTTTTAACAGCTTGTTAAGTGTTAAATCGTGTTCCCATGAAAGGGAAAGATGTAACCCCATATGAGCTTTGGTATAAAAGAAAACCAAACTTGAGACATCTTAAAGTTTGGGGTTGTAGGGCAATTGTAAAAGTGTCGGAACCTAAACGTAAAAAGTTAGGTGAAAGAGGAGTTGAATGCATTTTTATAGGATATGCGGATCATAGCAAATCCTATAGGTTCTATGTAATAGAACAAAATGACTTTTGGTCGGTTCACACCACCATTGAGTCAAGGGATGCATTGTTTGATGAAAATCGATTTTCTTCAATTCCTAGACCAAAGGATATAACTCCAAGTGTCAATGCTCAAAGTATTGATCAAATTGTCATTGATCAAGAGATGGATGACCAAACTCATTTAGAGAAGGCATCTACATCATCATCACAACCTAGGAGAAGTAAGAGGGCAAGGAAAGAAAAATCTTTTGGCCCGGACTTTCATGTGTACTTAGTTGAAGGATCAAGAGAATCTGTTTCAACACAATTTTCATACATTTTTAATGTGGAAGATGATCCTTTGACCTATTATGAGGCCATGAGGTCTCGTGATGCTCCATTTTGGAAGGAAGCTATTAATGATGAGATGGAATCCATCATGGGAAACAATACTTGGGTTTTAGCTACTTTACCACCAAAATGTAAACCAATTGGGTGCAAATGGATCTTCAAAAGAAAATTGAGGATTGATGGAACGGTTGAAAAGTTCAAAGCCCGGTTAGTGGCACAAGGTTTTACACAAAAACCTGGTATCGATTATTTCGATACATATGCACCTGTTGCTAGAATCTCAACTATAAGATTGTTGATAGCACTAGCGGCTATCCACAATCTTGTGATCCATCAAATGGATGTCAAGACAACATTCTTGAATGGAGATCTAGAGGAAGAAGTTTACATGCGACAACCGGAAGGGTTTGTTGTGGAAGGTCAGGAAGAAAAGGTTTGCAAGTTGATTAAGTCTTTGTATGGGCTAAAGCAAGCACCTAAGCAATGGCATCAAAAATTTGATGAGGTTGTGTTGTCTAATGGTTTTAAGTTGAACAATTCAGACAAGTGTATTTATAGCAAATTTGATGACAACGGTCAAGGTGTCATAATTTGTTAATTCTCAAAATGGGGGAGGATTGTTGAATTGCATAAGATTGTTTTGTGATGATGATGTTTTTGCAATGTATCTAGTTTAATTCTCAAAATGGGGGAGGATTGTTGAATAATTTTGAGAATTGGAGACATAATTCATGTTAATTAATTATATTACTTAGGCAAAGGTGTTGTGTATAATTAATAAAGAATATTAAAGCAATTAACCTTGATTAAAGGTTGATAAAGAACAACTCAAAACTCTGGTTTGCTGCCCCTGTACATCGCCCGGTCAGACGCCCGATCGTGGTGGTGCTCGCCCGATCGGGCGCGAGGGTAGTCTGGAAATCGTAATTTTCGCCGCCCGATCTGGCAGTCGTTGCCCTATCGGGCGCGAGAATGGACTTCTGGAGTTTGGGGCAGCCGCCCGATCGGGCCACCACCGCCCGATCGGACGCGAGAAGATGCCTGGATTTGACGTCGATTTCCGCCCGATCGGGCGGCAGCAGGCCCGATCGGGCGCGTGTCAGAGAGGAAGTTGAAACTGACGGTTTCGTTAGTTTTGCTTGAAGGATGTCAGTTATTTTCGTGGCTGTTGGCAAAGATTATGCTTTAATATATATATGTTCTAAGAACATATGTTGAATATACTTGAGAAAAATCAGAAGTTTATTTTTCTTGAAACCTCTTTGCAACTTATTATCATCATCATAAATCCAAAGGATTATTTACATTGAATTGTAATCATCCTACTTGTGATTGCAATTGTTTCTTCGTTGTATCTCCTAAGTAACTTTCCGTGAAACCCGGTTGTAGTATAGGGTCGGAATTATACTTTTGGGAAAGTGATTCCGTTCACGCCTCGAAGTTTTCCGTTCTAATTTGTTTGATATTTTTGTGACCCTTGTTTACACTCAAATTCCCCAACAATCCAAAAGTATAAATTGACAAAGATGGGAAATGTTAAGGAATTGATGGCCAACATTCAAAAGTTGGACAAATTCGAGGGTGTTGATTTCCGAAGGTGGCAGAGGAAGATGCATTTCTTCTTGACTACAGTTGGGGTGGCTTATGTTCTTGCTACTCCGAAACCTGAGGAAAAGGAGGAGGATTTTGTATAAATTAGCAACGGATTTTTTTTCCGTTGATGAATCTAGCAACGGATTTTTTTCCGTTGCTAAATTTAGAGACAGATTTTTTTCCGTTGCTAAGTTAGCAACGAATTTTTTTTTCCGTTGCTAATATGAGCTAACGGATTTTTTATTCCGTCTCTAGATAATTTTTGAAACTAATTATTTAAAATATTACATTAGAGACGAATTATGTAAGTTAAATTCATCTCTAAACTAGAAACGGATTTTCAATCCGTCTCTAAACTGGAAACTGATTTTTAAATCCGTCTCTAAATTAGGGACGGATTTGAAAATCCGTTTCTAAATTAGAGACGGATTTTAAATTCCGTTTCTAAACTAGAGATGGATTTTAAATTCCGTCTCTAATATTTCTTTCATTTATTATCAATTATGTGCGTAAAAGTAAACAGATAATATTTGGTATAGTTGGTAAGAGTTTCAATATTTGACATTGAGGTCACGGGTTCGACTTTATTTTTTCCGTTGCTAAATCCAGCGACGGATTTTTTTTTCTGTTGCTAAGTCCAGCGACGGATTTTTTTTTCCGTCTCTAAATTCATTTAGCGACAAGGTTTTTACCAACGGAGTGATTCCGTTGATAAATCCGTAGCTAACTATGTCCAGCGACGGATTTTTAGCAATTAGCAACGGATTTCAGCTGTTGCTAAAAGGCCAAATTTTTGTAGTGAAATAGCAAGCTGCAATATATGAAGATATATTATACATGGATGGAATGAAACGTATTTTGGAATAAACTAAGTCCAGTTGTGTTTTAATTTGGATAATCAAACCATAGTAATGGTACTATTAAGCAAAACTACTGTTGACTTCATAACTAGTCTTTTCTCAACACAATACAAAAGCAAGCTGTAAGTAAAACCCAGAACCAAGATTTCAGGTTTCAAGTGGAAGTTCAATAGAGCTGATGAAGTGAACTAAACTGAATTGAAATTTAGAAAAATAAGTCTAAATGAAAAGAGGCCTCAAGCTAAACAGGTTAAGTTTAGATAATAAAATTACTTAGTAGTAAAAAGGGATACAATTGATTCTTGCGAAAGGTGCAACAGGCTAACATATACTTCCATTTCCTTTAAGCAAACCATCTTTCGCTATATAACAGTAAAATAATATAACTACTCTGATAAGCAGAGTGTATATGATACTACAACTATAAACGATTACAAGGGGGTAATGGAGCATCGCATAGGCCAAGATTTCGCAAAAATGCAGAGGCAGGAATGCTAGAGTTATGAGGAGGTATACTTCCACTGAGTTGATTCCTTGAGACATCAAACAATTGCAGCTTCTCCAAATTCAACACCTCCTTTGGAATACTTCCGGTCAAACTATTCCTTGATAGCAAAAGCGTCATCAACTCCTTGGCTTTCCCAAGTTCGGGTGGAATTCTTCCTGATAGTCTATTATTCATCATCTCTAATACTTGCAGTTGCGTCAGGTTTCCTATCGATTTTGGTATGGTTCCTCCCAGTGGATTCTTCGACAGTACCAGGGAAGATATGCGTGCCATTACTGGCTTGGTACCTAAGTTCTCATCGAGTGGACCTGTGAACCTATTGCTTGACACATCAATGGAAGTGTACTCCCAGCCTTCTTTGTTAAAAACTATTCCCAAGGAACCAGAAAAGTTGTTCGAGTGAAGATCAAGTACTGTGAGTTGATGAAGGTTAATGAATTCCACAGGAATTGTAGAGTAAAATCTATTATTAGACAAGTTGAGGGAGCTTAGATAACCCATATTGCCCATCAATGAAGGCAGCATCCCTGTGATCTGATTACTCGATAAATCAAGGTAAGATATATACTGGAAGGAAGATACTGATTGTGGCAAGTTCCCTTTGATCCCTGTCCCAGCTAATGTCAGATTATTCAACTTTAGCTTGAAAATCCAAGAAGGTATTTTCTCCAACCCAAGTGGATTGTAGGACAAATCAAGGTTGTATATGCTTCCATTAGCAAGTTCAGGAGGAAGTGGACCAATGAGCTGATTGTTAGACAATTGCAATGTATAGAGGCTGAGGTTGGCAAAACTCGAAGGGATTTGACCGATAAACTGGTTATTTGAAAACAAGACATCAGACAGTGCAGTTAGATGCCCCATAGTTGGTGGCAGCTTCCCTGTAATCATATTGTTCTCTAAGACAATGCTCTGGATTCGGGTAAGATTACCTATGGAATAGGGTAACACACCCATCAGATTATTGTGACCGAAATTCATGAACTGTAAGGAAACAAGGCCACCTATGGAAGAAGGAATAGATCCAGTGAGTCTATTATGGTCGAGGTAAAGATTCTGCAACTGGGAGAGTTTACCTAAAGATCTTGGTATGATACCAGTAATCTTGTTATGGTCCAGGTATAAATTCTGTAATTGGGAGAGCTTACCTACAGAAGTTGGTATGGGTCCAGTGAGGTTATTATGGTCAAGGTATAAGTTCTTTAGATGGCAAAGTTCACCTGAAGAATAAGGTATGATTCCAGTAATTTCATTATGGTTCAGATATAAATCCTGCAGTTGGGAGAGTTTACCTACAGAATTCGGTATGGGTTCAGTAAGGTTGTTATGGTTGAGGAATAATGATTGTAATTTGGAGAGGTTACCTATGGAATCTGGTATACTAGCAGTGATGTAATTATTTGATACATCTATATAGGTGAGGTTCTTTAGTTTGCCAATACTAAGTGGAATCCTACCAGAAAGAAATTTTTTATTAAGATAAAGCCGGTTAAGTGAAACCAGATTTGAAATCGAAGATGGTATCGAGCCAGTTAACTGATTCCCCTCTAGCTCCAAAGTCGAGAGAGACTTCAAGGATTGAAAAAGAGAGCAAGGTATAGTGCCAGAGAGGCTATTATTACCAAGATTGAGAGACTCTAGCTTATGAAGATTACCAAGTGATTCGGGTATTGAACCATTTAGCCTGTTGTAGGTTAGTGAAAGATGAGTTAAATGAGACAACTTCCCTAGTTCAGGAGGGATTGGACCACTTAACCCAGCTAGAGCATATAGGTAAAGGCTTTGAAGATAGGTAAGGTTGCCAAGGAAAGGGGAAAGTGTACCTATTACACCAAAATCGCCATCGACACCAAAATCACTATCCACAAAGCCAACTCGGCTGACTCGAGTTACTCTCCCGGTGTCAGGATCACAAATCACTCCTTCCCATGCTGTGCAACAGTCAGTCGTAGAGACCCATGTGCCTAGTCTTTGGAACCAGTCAAACTGTATCCCACTCTTGAATTGAAGCAATGCCTCTTCATCTATAGGATTACAGGATTCTACCAGTAGAGGACAGAATATACTGTTTAAACCCAATATTATGATGAAAATTGGGGTAACTACTGTTGGATAATTTTTCTTAAGGGTTTCCATTGTTGGAGATAATTCAGTGAGGGTTTACTACTAAAAGAAGAAGTATGCATCTCTATATATACCCGTCTAGACAAGATTACTCGAAAATATAATATTTCTTTGTATAATCAACATTATCTGTAATCTGATCTGATGAAGCAGTAGTATAGTACTCCTAGTAGAGAAACAATATAGTTTCTTCCATGGTCTTAAGGCAATTCAGTCAATCTGAAATGGTTGAAATACGTACCATGTGCATCCTCTAAAAATTCAAAGTTAATAAAATCGCAAGCTGCGATATTTCTGACTGTCTAAGGCTTGACAGATTGCAGCTATTGTTATCTTTGGTTAAACTAAGTGCACTTGACAAAACTGTATTGACTTTCTCTTTCCTGTTGCTTTGAGCAGACGACAGAGGCGCGGATTGAACGAAGTAAATGCTGAAAACCAGCACTGCCGTAGTACACGGTAAATGCTTGGAAGTAGCGAGAACAGAAGGAAGATGCCAAAGATTGCGGCAATCAAGTGGCAGATAGTGATATTTTATGGATTGACAAAAAGTCAGTTAGTACTATGAGGTTTAAAAGGCTTTAATGCGAAGGGGTTCAGGATCAAAGATCCAGATTGTTTGGGGTGACAATCACAGTATTTGTGACTATCATTTCGGGATGGAAGGAGTATGTGACTATGTGTATTATATTTATGAGACTAAAGAAAAATCCTTAGTAACCCTCTGATATAGAACCTCAAGCTCTGCCCCCAGGCCTGAACCCCTTTGCTATACACGGAAGGTTAGCCTAGGAATTCTGTCCTGCACCCTATAGAATCTCATCATCTCATGCGCGAACATGTTAAGATATGGTCTTTCTAGGTCCTAGAAGACCTGCTGAAATCTCCCACGCATAATTGCAAATATACTTTGTGATATTTTGCGTTTATGAAATCCACATGAGAGGGAGTGGTGTGGCTCGATAAGAGCATACCTCAAATTCCAGGAGTAATTCCCAGGCTTGACTCTTCATCCCGTTTCACAGGCTGCTGACTATCACGGTTCTTCTGAGGTAGGAATGAGTTTACCTTCAAAACATATGTTATTCACATTAGGAATTTTTTTTTTTTCGGGGGTGGGAGAGGGGGAATGTTCACTTGTTCAAATAGCAAAAACCATGTTACTCTATTCAGCAAACTGATAATTGAATTATACACTTGATTATTGGTAGCAATATTACAAGCTGAGAGGAGGCCAAAACTTCCAAAAATAAATAATTGGCCAGTTCAACAAGGAACTTGTAGAAAAATAAAGCACATGACATCAGTTTTTTTTAAATATAAAAAAATCACAATATGGTTACCAAACTATTGACTATAAAACGTATATATTCTTCAAACATTAATATCCGTACGTTTTGTTTTAGTATAACTGAGCTCTGAAGCACTGGCCAAATTATACCGTGGCACATGATTGACTTCCGGGGTCAACATTGGCCGCTGAGGATAGAGCGTGGGTGGAGGAGTAAGGTTGTGTTGAGCGGGCAAGGGAGGAAGCACATTGTACTTGTAAGGATCCCCGCTTAAACTGCAAGAAGAAACAAGTTACTCTACATTGGATCTGGTCAACACAAACACTACATAGAACAAATGCCAAACAAGTTCAAGCTTCAGCATAAAAAATCTATCTAATATAAAATCCTCTGTTCAAGTAAATATTGTCGTTTTTCTTGAAACCACCAAAATATTATCCAATTTTCTGGCTGCAAGGATTAAATCTTTGTTATATGAAATGCTTCATTCATTAAACATAGCTCCGGCAACAAGTTAGCAATTGTATATTAGATTGTCAATTTTCCATAAACCATCAAAATTGTATCCAACTTTCTGACTGTAAGGAGTAAATCAAAGTTATATGAAATGCTTCATTAATAATAGCTTCTGCAACAAGTTGGAAATGTGTATCTAACTCTCATCCAATATCAATTTACAACTGATGAAATTCAAGCAAGAGGGGGATTTACCTCCAAGGATTATATTTCATCAACAAAAATCACATTGTTCCACCTCCTTACATTGAAGAATTAAACATGAATTTACTACAATATCCTTCAACAAAGCTGTGGCACACCTACCCTCTCCCAAACTTCATTTTCATAGAGGGCATCTTTGCTATTACTGCCTCATTTCTTTGAAAAAAAAAATAGATAAAAGCCACATTAGGTTTGCTCAAAATGAAACGGGACAATCTTTTAGGAACGGCCCAAAAAGGAAAACAAGGCAATCTTTCATAGTCCAAAAGTATGGTTTGTCCATTTATATCATTGGTGGCCTAATAAATGAATGTCAAGATTTTTGGTCATGAGTGCTAATCTACTTTGTACTTCAGTTTTGTTAACCAACTGTGGGCACTTCTACAATTCTACTGACTGCAGATCAAAACAATTTTATAGGTTACATGTTAAAAATCAACAAAAACTCCTTGTATTTTGGGTAAAGGAAATTCCACTTTTAAGGTCACACACCTTACACATGCTTGATTAGATTTTTGCACTATATAAGGTATCCTATGTCATATAACATCAACTTCTTAAAAGTCAAATGAACATAAGTAAAATGTCATTAGATTTTTGTACTTTATTAGGTATCCTATGTCATTATTGCACTTTGTAATGAACACATTAATAGCCTGAAATACAGCCTCTACAGTTTCCATTGGCCTTTAGAGATGAAGGTTTATTCTTAGTCAAAATCAAGTGAAATATGTAAGGAATAGAATTAGAATGTGTCCAAATAGGCTAGGTAGTTTAGAATCTTCGCTGCTTGGGTAATTAAACTCTCTCCAAATTTTTTAATTGTTCCATTTTAACTTTTGCACTAAAAAATCGCATCTTTTCAGACAATTTTTCTAGAAATATTTTTGAAAAAATCACATGACATACTTTTGTACTTCGTATAAGATATTATTGTATTTGTCCCGGGTATAATCACAAAATATCAACTTTTGTACAAATTTTTACTTTTAAAAAACAGAGGGCGTTTTAAAATTTAGAGCATAGCCAAAAAAATAAAATAAAATAAAATAAATCAAATCACTATTGCACTGATCACATGTCCAAAGAAAGCAAAAGTAAAAATAGAAACAGCTTGATTCAAGTCTGTCAGACAAATTACAGAAAATGATACATAAAGCAGGATGACTAAAAAATACCTTGTACGGCTTACGGATTGATCGTTGCTACTTGTTATTTCATCAGATGATTGAAATGATCTCTGAATTGGTGAAATTGACCATGGATTTGATGGGGGTAATTGATCTGAAAAATATCTCCTTCTTATCAACTGTAGAAACAAATGTTTGACAACGTAAGCAACAGTGTCCAGTCCAGATATGGGAGAAGTGAGTATAATCTCCAGAAAGCCTACAGAACTAAGAGACAAACCATGCGGAAGAACTTCGTCACAGCTTCTTTATCAAACCTTGCTTCTTTGGCAGCCTGCACAAATAATAAAATGTATTTCAATATGTAATCAACTTATGGGAAGTCACAGGAAGGTAAAGCAAAGAAGTTCAGTAATTTCAACTTCTTCTAACAGATCATGCCAAAATATCAGAACTTATTCACTAATTACAATAGTAACCTAACAAAGTCACAAATACAATAAAAGATTAGCAAAAGATTGACAGTCTAGCAAACGTGATACAAGTTCAGTAGAATGGAGAGTACCTTTTGCACAGATCAGTTAGTTCTGCTACTACAAATAAGGATTGCAAATTTGTAATGGAACCCACAAAAGACACACACACAAAAAAAAAAAAAAAAAAAAAAAAATAATAATAATAATAATAATAATAATAAAACAGCTTATACCAATTCAGCAGTTAAATCACTACATCACCTAAACCAAAAACAAGAACTTGCAAACCCCTAAATAGCCCATCAAATTTACCTGCACCATGGGATAATAACTCTTTATGATTTTAAATGGAATTTCAGTACTTTATTTAATATTAGTTTCCATAAAAGAGGGATGACAACTACACCCCTCCCCCAAGAAAGCTCTCTATGTCTGAAATACTCCGTAACTAGACTACAAGAGGATCAGAAAGTTACGATAACTTACAAACCACTCAACTAAAAATGAGAACCTGAAAGGCAACACCCCCCCCCCCCCCAACACCTCATCATCCCCTCCAAAAAATATAAAAAATAAGAAATGATTAAAATAATGAAGGCAGCCATGGAGCCAGACAACCAAAAATATAATTAAGGATATGTGTGGAGACTAATCCAGTGATAAGTCTGATAACTACATGGAGGCAGACCCTTGTTCCACAAAATCAAGCACTAAGACTTTGTTGGGATTGCATTTAACTTATCAAGCAAAGCCATGATGTTCTGATTATCTAGTCTATGTGAATTAAAATAGGAAATGTGAAGAGGGAATGTCAAAGAAGAAACTGAACAGTCATTATAAACACTAGCAAGTTTTCGAGGCTTTTCATCTTAAGTTCTGAATTGTTATTGGCTGCTTTATCAACTTGGTCATTGAAATTTCACTATCCAAACTAAACACTACGAAGTTTATGCTAATATTTCTAGCTAAAATGAGGTAGATACAATCATACAACTCATACAATATTACAATGTCTTGACCTATCCAAGATCTTAGTATCTTCAACTCAAAGTTTAATTGTATGACAAGAAGCTGACTATAATTTGATCATGTTTTTAATTTTTCAAGGACTAATTCTTCTTTATCAAACTTTCAAGTAGATACTAGCCACTAGGCAGCCATTCGTTTAAGAAAGTTGGAAAGATAGTAAGTCAATAATTCAATATATGTTGAACAAAGGGAAATAGATATTATTGAAAGCAATCTTCTAATTAGAGCTTAAAAAAATAAAAAAAAAAAAATAAATAAAAAAAAAAAAAAAAAGGTTGACCTAGAAACTCTAAAAATTAGGGAAACCAAATCTTACAGCTAACAATGCTCCATAGCCTGGGAAACTCTCAGTCAGTGGCAATTCCTCACTTGGCGGAAGAAGCCCCTGCTTCTCAACCCATTGCCGAGCCACATCCACAAGATTACCACTGCTTCCTTGAGTACCTTCTTTTGCTGCAATATCTGCTTTATTACTGACAACAATGTATGGGACAGGAAGGCCACCAGGACCTCCAACCCCCATTGGAGCAGAGAAAGTCCCAACTGCTGCAATTTCTGCAGCCCACTTATGCAAACTTGTTTTTGTTCTCCGTTGTGAAAGATCATAAACAAAAATAACACCTGCATATAAAGGTTTGACACAGTGAAAGAAGATACCAATACGTACTACTGGTTTTGGTTCAATAAATCACTATTTTCAGAACAGTTGTCCAATGAAGGGATTCAGAAACTATGTAAGACTTCAATCAGAATGAAGTCCACTTAATATTGCCTTTTTTTAGTCTTCGGATAAAATTTGTTTTACAGACAAAAATCCCAATCTAAGTTTACATTTTTTCTATTATTTGAAAATTTTAAACTCAAACATATTAGACATAGGACTTTGCAAGTTACATTCACCATTCCTCATCAATTACACTATCCCCAAAATTCAATTTCAATTCAATATCTAGAAAATGACATGGTCCTTGGCTCATGAGACATGACTGTTCTCTACATAGACCATGGCTTGTGAATTACTGAGGAAACTCATATTTTCAAAGTTTTGAAAAAGTATATAAAATGTGCCCTCTGTTTGAAATCATAGCCATGTTATCCCAAATTCCCACTCCTCATAATTAAGGACATGACACTTTTTTTCTGCAAGACCCGTTGTAGTAGTAGGACTAGTCCAACACTCTCCTCATTACTCAGCCTTAGTTTGGGAAAGATAACCACAAACCATTATCATTTGAGAAAAATAATATAACATGCACATTATCAGATATACGATTAATATAATATATGTGACTATTATTTCCATGCGGGAGCATCATAGATTAAGCAGAAGCAGAAGTTCGACTATATTAGGTTGCAGCACAAGAACTTACAAGTACATGTTGTAGAGCATTTATTCACTAATTGTAATGTACAGAAATGTAGCTATTTAAGGTAAAAAGGTTATCTAAATTCGTCAAATTGATACCTAACAAACATTAACCTCAAGAAGGTATACTCCTCATACTTAAGGCAGACAGTGATTACAGAAGTTTTAGATTTCATCATCCACCAACGATATTGAGAGTTACATACATATTTAAATTTAAGGATCTTCAATGCTCATAAAATCAATAGTGCAATCCACGCCTCAAAAGGCCAAGAACTATATCCTTGCAATAAAATACTTAGGTCTTAACCACTGTGTAAAGGAAAACTTTGTTACTTATTTACGCTACAGGTACAATAAACATAAAAGAAATTAGAACCTAAAAGCCACCCTTGCATAAAACCACTAGGCCGCTAATTGCCTCTCATGGCCTCGTCGACTAAAGAAAATATTTCATCACTAAAATAAAAAAGCATTACTTAACCATCTTACCATTAATTTGGGTGTAGAAAAGCGATCGACAGTCTTTATATCGCTCATGGCCTGAGATATCCCATAATTCAACAAAAAAATCTCTTTCAGCATCACCTTTAATGCTATTTGAGGAACTACTAGGGCTTCCATAAGTAATGTGCTGAAGGCAAAAAAAGAGTAAAACATCAGCAACTACCTCAGTAATTGTTTCAAATTGCACAACAAATGCACAAGGAAACTTGAAGTAACCTTCACATTAACTGAACATCCTATTGTTCGAGAAGGACGAGTGACTGTAGAACCTTTAGTAATTAATTGTACAAGAGAAGTTTTTCCCACACCTGCCCCAAAAGGAAAAAAAAAATATTTCAATTCAAGAATAAATAAACCAATTTGCAAAGTAGCACTAGACATTAATACAACTACACACTACTGCACTAGAATTAAAATTGTTCAAATCAGAAAAAAACTAATATACTCGTATTAAGCACTGCCATAGTGCTGGAGCCACTACAAATTAAGTTAGTCGGCTTTAAAGGCAAGATGGTGCAAGCATTACTCAGAAATAGAATTATTACTACATGTATTACAAAACAATAGGAGACATCAGCTTTGTTTGATTTGCAAAGGAGATAAAAAGATTGCAACAATTTGATTCCTGGATTCATATGAATTTGTACAGCTTACAACTTACACAACAAAACAATTATGACCAACCAATTGTAACACAAACCCAGAAGGCTCTAATAGAGCAACGAAGCCACTATCATCAAACAACCTTCCAAACACAAGACCACACATTACTCATGTACCTCACTCAACACTTATTAGAATGCCATAAACATAATACAATTATTATAAAGCATAAGCAAGTATGTCATAACTTCATCAAAGACTTCTATAATTCAAGTCCAAACAACCCCATTTCCAACCCAACCCTAGTTAATTCATCATTCCGGTAATTCGAAATACTCAAATTATAAACCAACAAACTCTAATTTTCACCATTCCCATCATCTGGATCATCATAATCAGCTCAAATCACCATTTTTAACATATAAGCAACTATACAAATCAAACACTCAAAATCACTGCACCATTATGATAGATAATATACAGATCATAATCAAATAAAGCATCATATGAAGATTATAACAAATGAAACATCATAAATTGATTATTAATAAATGGAAAAAAGAATACCTGAATCTCCAACTACAAGAACTCGAACCTGCCCACAAAGTGAAAGTGGCCCTCCATTTTGCTCCTTGTTATTATCTCTCTCCCTATCCCTCCAGAACATCATCTCCCAGAAAAATCTAACAAAAACCCTTTTGATGCTTTTCAATCATACATCAATTTTAGCTCCCATTGAACACAATGTAGGATTTTTGGTGTAACAAAACCCCAAGAACAAGTTCCTCTGATTATCGATTAAATGCTTAAAAATCTGGAAAACCAATGAATCCCAGAAAATGAAATTGCATAAACTAGTGATGCAATGGTTCAAGGAATCACTGTGAAAAATGACACAGATCTGGGTAAATGAGAAATTGTGATGAACTTGGGAATAAATAAAAAGTAATGGAGTATTACAACGGTAAACGCCAGCAAAGGGTGGTGGATTGAAGATCAAAACACACACTCAGAAGAAGAGAGAGACAGCGAGGAAGGAGAGAAAAAGGAAAGCGTTGGAACTGAAAAACTGTCTTAGGCTCTTAGCAATATGGCGGTGTATGCCACGCTCGCTACTTTTTTTTTTTTTTTTTTTTTTTGGTGTTGTTGTTGTTGTTGTTTGGAGAGCCACGGGCGATGAGAACTCTTGGAATTGGGAGGGACGCTCTAAGAGCATCTCCAATGGTAAGCTACAAAGGCTTGTAGCTTGCTTTGTCATGTTAATTTTTAAGGCTACAACCTATTTAAGCTACAAAGTATTCCAATGGCAAGCTACAAGAAGTTGTTGCTTGATTTGCCACATCATTATTTCAAGCTACAAAGTACTCCAATGGATGGCTATATAATTTTGTAGCTTGCATGTAATACTTTATTTACTACACTATATGAGCTGAAAATTTCATTGCTATTTTACTTACTTTTACCAAAAAAATTCTAATTTATAATATAATTTTATAAGTTGTGCCTGCTATCAATATTAAAATTTATATGCAATAATTTATATAATTTCATATAAGTTGTTTTGTACTCGTATTATAAGACGACTTGCTTGCGATTTAATTATTTGAGCTTGTACGAAGTATTTAATATTTTCATCAAGAGAATTGATAACCTTTTCCATTTAAAAAAAATAAAAAAAAAAATTATTGATAACTTTTCTCCCTAAATTTATTTGCATATTTTATTATCAACATTTGACAATACAACTAAATAAAACTAATTAACAAAACAACCTTCCTTAAACAAAAAAAAAAAAAAAAGAACCAACTTAGCAACTTAAGATCAATTCAAGTTATAGCTACCAAAACGTGACCAAATATGCTCAAATAAATTAGCCTTTAGCTGATGATGCATTTGTCTATCTCGGATTGTTGCATCTCTTTCAAGATATGACTCAAAATTCTCTTCGATGCACATCATCAACAACACTTGGTGAAAATTCATCGTTAGGAAAGTTTTTGTTATAAGTGTGACGCTCGTCTTCAACAATCATATTATGTAATATAATACACGCATCCATAATATCGTGGATATTGCGTTTATGCCAACAACGTGCAGGCCCACGAACTATAGCAAAACGAGATTGGAGTACCCCAAATGCCCTCTCAACATCTTTCCTTGCACTCTCTTGCTTTTCCTTAAACAAAAGCCTCTTCGGGTCCCGAGGATGGTAGCTTGACATGTTGTCTTGCAAATTAGGCATTGTAGTATTGGGATAATAGTAGCCAGGGTGGTAGTGTGTTTGAGGGTAGGAATTTTCGGAGGTGAAATTTCCACTATTTGATGAATTTCCCAAACCAAAATGTTTACTAAATGGATTATCCGTATCATCCATCCAAATTTTTTACGAGGAATTAATCGTAGATATGAAAGTATTTGTAGATTATGTTTTTTTGAAACAATATACTGGTTGTATTCTTAAGGTTAAAAAACTTATTTATAGATGTATTAGCTAATAATTCAAAGTTAAATATGGTTACCAAATATTGTACATTGGCTAAAATTTTGGCGAAATCTTTTATTGACAAAGTCTAATTTGTTATCATATATAACGTAATAAAAAATTTTAAATTTTAAAATACCTATAATCTTGTACAAGTGATCTTAGGAATATAATGAATGTTACTAAATTTTTTAACAAAAAGAATAAAACAAAGTATACCTATAACCTATAAGCTAGGAAGCACATTAGTCAACATTAGCTAGAGCATGTCAGTTACACCTTCTGATAAAGATGAAAAATTGATTTTAAAATGTTTTTTTTTTAGAAAAAGATAAAATAAAAAAAAAATAAAAAATAAAAAAAAAGTTGTTGCATTATCTTTTGAGCAATTGTAGATCACGTAGAGCATTTCCATTAGCCGTGCATACCACTCTCCAATTTTTTAAAATAATATATAAATCTTGAAAATTTCCAAGCAGTGTTGCTCAAGTGAGCAGTGCTGCTCTTCCAAGCAGGTATGTCAATTTTGTTCCAATGGTCAAGCTACAGTTTTAATATTTTTAAATATTGCAAGCAAGACCCTAAAACTAACCATTGGAGATGCTCTAACCAATTGAGTAATTTTCCAACTCATTACTCCTTCAGTCCCCTTCTTTTCGTATATGTTTTTATTCGGTTTACTCTTTGGGTTAATTCCTATTTGGGTTTCAGTTTTGGGTACTTTTTTTTCCAAATTAAATTCATCCTTTGGGCTAATCCGAATTTCGGTTTTAGTTTTGGGTAATTAGATTTCACTCTCATTCCAATTGTTGTTAATGAGGATTTAACACACGATTTTTTATACCAAATGCAGCCTCAATCACCACTCCACCAACAACCAATTGTTTACTCTATTACAAATACAGCATTAGAGTTAAAAAAAATGTTTCGTTCATTTAGTGGCTATGTTTCCATATCTATTTTATTAACTATTATTAAAACAGAAGATGCTGACGTCACCACTACCCACGTGTCGCTCTCTTAATAAAAATAAAAAAATTAAAAAAATTAAAAAAAAATAAAAAAATCTGGCTAAATGCAATGATGATGTTATTTTTTTTGCTTTGTACAACTATTTTATATTTAACATTTTTGAAATTTAAATATTAGAAGGTTTTACATTACAACTAAAACATATCAATTTATCGTAGGAATTGAAACAATTTTAAATAGCACACTAATAAATGACTTCCTACACTGAGTTGACGATGTTCAACAGATAATATCATGATTTTGATGAATATGAAAATTTTTAAAACTACAAAATGTATGTAATCTTATTTATATTCAATTATTCAAGTATAATAGCGATTTATTTTTAAAATGTACAAATTAAAAATAGGTTTTATATAAACCGTGTATCGCACAGGTTCTAACCTAGTTAGCACTATTTATATGCTAATTAACATTTAACTGCATTTGGTGATTGATATGTATGCCAAAATAAAATCAAGTTAGATCTTATTATATTTCGTCTCAATATTCATAATACTCCGTATCAAATATATACATATCTACAATTAGAGATATCAGATATGAAAGGTTTAAATTATATGTTAACAAGCGTGAAAATCAAAATGTTGCAACTAATAGTGAACGGTGGAAGTTAGTGATAAATGTTAATGTAGTCATATCAAATCTTATTGGATTAGTCTCATTATATATTTTATTTTGATATTTACAGTAGATATTATATTTTTTTATGAGTATGATAATGGATGAATGTAACTCCGAATCCTCAAACACATTTGATTTTTGGTTGGTTGATGCAGATTCAAGTCATACAATTTGGGTACAGGTGTATTCAATTTTGTCAAGTTTACTCCGTAGCAATACGAGCATATTTTATAATAGGGTTTATTATTCATTGGTCCAAGACTGATTGAATCAAATCAAAGACCGAATACTTAAAATTACTGCATCTGTTTTACTCACAATATCCACACATTTTCGTTTAACATCTCTTGTCTATCTATTCACATTTTTTCATAATCTCATTCACATTTTTACAATATCCCTTTTTACCCTTTTCTTACACTCACGTAGCACATCAACACTCTCTCAATTCGCCTTAAATTGTATGCAAAAGATGAACTATAAATGAAGGTTGTATGTTAATTTACAAAATGTCCAACATCATTGCACCACTTTTACCTTTACCACCCTTGGTCCCTTGCTTGAGTTATTCTTGGCCCTCTCACTCCCTCAAATGACACCATACTTTTTGCCCTCTACCGACCTCACTAGAGGCTAGAGCTAAGCATTTGCTTCTCTCTTTTCACCTTTTGCTATCGTTTGCCTCACCATACCACTCATGAGATTAAACTATTTTTGCATGACCTAACTTAGGTTAAAAACCTATCAGATTGTTTTTGATATTCATAACAATGCATTTTTAGAGACATATAGAATTTGGTCGGCACACATTATTAGTCTTAATTAATCACATTTCTAACCATAACAAATGACCAAATTATATCTAAAAATAAATAGAAGGGACAAGGGTGCTTATACATATTCGTCCTTAGATGGAACACGTGATGCAAGCTTGCAAAGTTTTATGTCATGTTGTAAGTTGCATTCAAGTATTATCCAACACACAACCCTACTTGGTTCAAACTCGAGTCAAGTCAAATTTTTTGACAAAGTGTTTCAATCAAATCAGCCTTTTGGTTGAGGACTTGAGGTAATACCGGGTCCTAGGACCAAGATATTAGTTCGAGATTTCGGGTCTTCCAACCCAATCCGAGTTAGGACTTGTTCTTTTCAGCTTATTTTCAGTTCAGCTCCAATAAATTCAATTTAGTTAATCAGAACAGGCCCTTAGCCTTCTAGACCCATTTTCAACCGGGCCAAGCTTTCTTGATCACCTCTAGTTCAAACCCAGTGTTTGTGTCTAAGCCCAACCCACAAAGTGTCTTAGGCTGGCCGACATAGCTTCAATCCCACCAATCCCACCTTTAGAGAGACATCCTACCATACAACAGTTATCACAACAAATCCTAACAAAACTGAAATAAAAAGCTCTTGTTTAAAAGGTCTTTCTATCTAAAGTGTGCTCCTCAACAAACTACAGTTGAGGCTACCACGACCCATTAAACCAACAATATTCAAACAAAAAACCCACCTTCAAATTTTATTTATTTATTTTGACACATTCAATTTTTCAAATTTTATAAACTTTTAATAGTATCACATCATTATTTTTTCCACCCCTTTTTATTATATTTTTATTTTAAAGTTGTGTCTTTAATAATTGATAATATGCACAGCTAGCTAACTGCATCATCTTTCTGTGATCACATGAAAGTTTTCTGCTGCTGCTTTTGTCAATTGCTATCTTCCTCAAATTTAAACTGTACAAAAACAATCATCCTTTTCCCCTGATTTTTAAACCAACCAAAAAGATAATATTTACCCAAACCTACCCTATTTATTATTTATTTATTTTATCATATTCTTATAAATTCATCTTTTCATACAAATAGTAGTCTTGCAAAAACAAAACAGTGGTCACATTATTAGTCATTGAAGTAAAAAAAAATTATAGTCCAAGATAACAATGTCGCCGCATATGCAGAGAACTTTGCTCAAGGTTATTGTCCTTGGAGATATTGCGTAAGTTTTTTTTTTTTTTTTTTTTTTTTTTTTTTAAATAATTTTGTTTGAGATGATGAGATTAATATGATGTTGTTCCTTATTAAATTGGTTTATTTTTATGTGTTTGTTTTTCAGAGTAGGAAAGACTTCTCTAATTACAAGGTAATATTCATACAATTATTTATGTACTCCCTCGTCTTTAAAGGTTTTTCTGTTTTATTGGTAATTGTTAAAACAAACAACTTTTAGAGACGAAGTGAATGTTTATTTTTTGCTGAACTCGTAAACTTGCAAAATATATGAGCTAGTTTTGTGTTTGACTAGCCTATTTCTAGCGTTTTAATGGTCCTTATATTATCCCTCTAGTCCCATCGCGAGACTAATTGCTATTAACTCTACTACCCTTGTACCTCGAGGACACAATTATTATGTTATACGTAGTACTATGTGTACGGGTACATGCTAGTATTATGTGTACATTTTTCCATATTCATTTATGCAACGTTTTTGTTTGTGTTGAATTGTGTAATATAGATACGTGCAAAAGAAATTCAATCAACAATACAAAGCAACAATCGGGGCAGATTTTGTGACGAGGGAGTTGCAAATTGATGGCAAACTCGTTAGCCTTCAGGTTAACTCTCTTTTTCTATTAGTAACTTAAAAAAAATTATGCAAAACTTTGGCTAATAATATAAATTGTATTCGGACAGATTTGGGATACAGCAGGGCAGGAAAGGTTTCACAGTTTAGGACCTGCATTTTTCAGAGGATCAGATTGTTGTGTTTTAGTATACGATGTGAATGATCAAAGATCGTTTGAAGCCCTCCAAACATGGCGTGATGAATTCATCAAACAGGTAATATATATATGACGCCCGATAGTAATTGTTGCATTCACTTTTCTCGATCAATCCATAAAAGATAAGCAAGTAACTATTAATTAGTCTTGCAAGTCCATCTTGCATTGCAATATGAGAAAATAAAAGTTTTCTTGGAGATAAACAAAATTTGTTAATTAAATAACAATTTTGTTATAAGTCAACAATTTTCATAATATGGGCTCCACCTTTGTTAATTTTGTTACCAATATGCCACGCTGATAATTGTCCGAATAAAATTGTTGATTTATTTACGAGATGCTATATTAATTCACGATATTTGTTTATCTCTAAGATAAACTTGGCTTTAATTTCCTCGTGCAATTCTTACAATGTTTATCAACTTGTTTTGGAAAATTCAAAATCTATTAGTTATATAGTTTGCCTTACAATGCAACAAAAGACAATCTTCAATAGAAATGGAGGGGAATCAGAATATTTATGGATTTAAATTGTCTCAAATAAGTATTTCCTCTGTTTTTTTTTATATAGTTGCAACACTTTTCTTTTCACGCTTGTCAATGCATGTTTTGAATCAATAATATCTTTGATTATCAATATGTAAAACTTGTGTATAAATTGTCAAATCTAATCAAAGTGAAACATGTGAATAGTATAAAAGTCAATACTCTAGTGTGAGCATGTTAGGATTCTTAATTTGTCTATCCACAACCATTTGAATTGTTTGGCATGCATAATATTGAACGTTCAAGAAATTAGTGCAAACTAGGGAGACAAGAACTAGCAAGAGACACCTAGAACCTACGGCAACAAACCATAAATAAAAAGTTTAAAAGACCCACTTTTCTAAGCAACTCATTGTTTGTAGGGGTTTTGATAATTATCATTTTTGACTTTTTATTTTATTTTATTTTTTTTTATAATTATCAGACAGATATCCCTGACCCAACTAAATTTCCTTTCGTGGTCATTGGAAACAAGATTGATCAAGATGGTGGAGCCAATCGCAAGGTTAGATTACCCTCCATTTCAAAAATATTGTTTATTAGATTAATTGTGGCGTTGTATAGTTTTACATCCTCTTTTCCGCCCCCAATTTTTGCCTCATTACAAATAAATTAAATTTGAATATTTTTTTTTTTTTTTATAAATTAGGACAACTAGATTATATTATAAGTACATGATTCAAATACAGATCTGGAATCTTTCAGGGTTTGAAATTGTTAATATTGTATATTGTTTTTATACAAATTAGGTGCAAGAGAAAAAAGCAAAGGAGTGGTGTGGGTCAATAAAATCAGGGCCAAAATCAAGCGGCATTCCTTATTACGAGACTTCAGCAAAAGAAGATATAAATGTAGATGATGCTTTCTTCAATATTGCCATTGCTGCCTTATCTCATGATCGTTCACAAGAATTGTAAGTAGAACTGTCTGTTTTTTTCTTATACTCGCATAAAATTAAATTGTTACATATTTAACTTGTTATTTTTGTAATTGTAACCTTATTTTTTGTTGTTTTTTCCATGCAGATACTTTGAAAGTATAACAGAATCTGGTTCGTTATCAGAAATAGTCGAACCAAGAAGAAGTTGTCCTTGCTAATCTAATTTCTTCACGATGCTTGTTCTACATTCTAACTATTATCGGAAGTTATTTGATTCTTTTAATTTAAAATTTTAAAGGTATACATTTTGCTTGCGCCATTAATAAATGGAAAATGAAAAGAAAAAAAATCTGTAATTTGATGTTATTGCTATTATTTGTTATCTTGACAGATAATGAAAAGTTACAACTGATCCGACTATATTATTTTTTGTAATTGTACATTCGATAATAATGTCTAATATCATGGGGAAGTGAATAGCCTTAAAAGAAAAAATCCCTAAATAATATCTCTAAGTAATTTAGAGCATATATTAATTTGATCATTGGTTATAAAGTTGTTGGCCAAACATATTTTGTAACAAATTTTTTCCCTAAGAAAGTGAATAAGTAAAGGCAAGCTAAGTCAAGTAGTAAAAGGAACGAACACACACTAAGTAGTAGTACAAATAAGAATAGTGGATTTTGTGGTAGAGAAGGTGTATAGTAGTATATACTATATAAGGAGTAAACGTGGGCAACGGGCTGTGCCGTGCCGCCGCGGGCCGTGTTGTGCCTGAAATTGGCACACCCAGCCCCCGGCACGGCAAATTGGCACACCCCAGCCCACGGCACGGCACGATCCACGTGCCTTGCGGGCCGTGCCGGGCCACGGGCCAAATCGTGCCACCTTTTTTTTTTTTTTTAATAAATAAAAAAAAAACGAAGTAAACGATATATATATATATTTTTTAGTACAACTTAATACATGTGACTAATTTATGTTTATGTTAATATTAATATAATTTGTTTACATTTTTTGAACAACTTTATTTTAATTTAGGTTATATAAATTATTTATCTAATTAATAATTATGTTTAACTTTATATAAACAAATAAAAACAATTTTATTAATTTAGCAAAAAACAACAATGCATATAATAAAAAAAATACGAGTGCGATAATCCGAAAACACAAAAAATTGAAGAATAACTTATTTTATTATATGACGGTAGTCGGTACGAATGTACGATAATTTAATAATACAAAATAATTAATGATAATTAAAAATCGTACAATAATGATAATTAATAATACGTGTCGGGTCGTTCCTAGCGGGCTCGTGTCGTGCCGTGCCGTGCCCGGTCATGCCTCGTGTCGTGCCGGCCTCCATGCTGCCCGCCGTGCTACGTGTCGTGCCCATGCCGATTTCCAAAAAAGTGTTTACAGCACGGCCCACGGCCCACAGGTGGGCCGCCGTGCCGTGTCGGGCCCGTGCCCATGAGGAGGGTGGAAAAGGTAGGAAAGCTTATGTATAAGTATAGTTACTTGCATGTGTATTTGTTGATTGATGGCTCATAAACTATATTTATACTTGAAGATGGAGCTTAAACAAAATGGTTAGAAGATTCCAAAACTTTCTTCATCATTCTTGTAGCCATAATAATCAAGAATGGTGAAAAATTCTCTAGATTATTTTAGTGGATTACATGATACAAGCTAGTAGAAAAATCTAAAGAAATAAAGAGCAATATTATTCATGTTACATGTAGACCTGGTTATTAGACAGGGTAGCTCAATAATAATAAGGTCAAAGCCTAGCTTGTAGGGTCCTTAATGGACATGGTCTTTAATGAACATAACCCTTATTAGGTAGGGTCAACATATTTGTCAAATTTAATACATAAAGAAAATAGATAATGTAAAAAAAAAATTAACAGTTTTCGTATTTATATGTAGTACTTAATTATGGCTTTATCTAGGGGTGTCTATTTAGTTTTCGGTTTGGATTTTGGTCAAATCCAATCCGATCCGAAATAAAATTCAGTTTTTTAATTTTCAAATTCAATCCAATCCGAATTTCTAACTGATCCAATCCAAATAACCAGACTTTATCTAATATCCAATCCGAATTTCTAATTAATATGTTAAGGCCTTGTTTGGTTGACAATAATGTAAGAATTGGGATTTCCTAGGAAGTTCTATTTCCCACAAAAGAGAGGAATTAACTTACTCAATAAGTTGAACTTTCCATTGAAAATGAAAATTCCTACATCGAATCAAACAAGTTTTGAAAATTCCTAGGAATTATAATTTTATAAGAATTGAGATTTAATGTAAATTTTTACTTCCTATATCGAACCAAACAAAGCCTAACATATTGGTGCAAATCCAATAAGCTACCAATCTGCAAAAAGACAAGCATATATGAAGTACTCCATGATTTTATTTTTTTATTTTTTTTATGAAGGGATTTGTTAAACGTCGCCCGCAAATCTCCACATAAAGCCCACAAATATTTTTACTTTGACTCTTTTGCCCTTTTTCTAATTTTTACCGAAACCGTAATTCACTCTCACGAAGAATGTGGAGCTGGAGTGGATCGCCGAGGGACACCGAAGAGCCGTCATCGTCGCCGGAAAGCGAGATAATCCGGGGGGAAAATTACGAAAAGTAGGGGTGGCGTCTGGTCAGGACGCCGCCACCATGGCTGTGGCGTCCTGGCCAGACGCCACCCCTACTTTTTGTAATTTTTTTTTTTTTTTTTTTTGTAATTTGTTATTTTTTTTATTTATTTATTTTTCTTTTTTATTTTGTAATTTTATTTAAACTTTTTGTAATTTTTTTTAAATTTTATTTAAAGTTTTTGTTTTTTTTAATTAAACATTAACACAAAAAATTCTGATTTAAAAAAAAATATATACATTAGAAATAAAAACATTAACACATAAAACAAAAATATTAAACATTAACAAAAGAATTCTGATTTTCCAAAAAAAAAATATTAGACAAAAAAAAAAAAAAAAAAAAAAAAAAAAGTGGTAGGGCGCCTGGCCAGGACGCCCAGCCCCTGGTGGTGGCGTCTGCTCCGGCCGCCGGGACCAGGGGGCTGGCGTCTGACCTGGACGCCCAGCCACGGCGGTGGCGCCTCTGGAAAACGCCACAACCGTGGCTAGGCGTCCAGGTCAGACGCCAGCCCCCTGGTTCCGGCGGCCGGAGCAGACGCCACCACCAGGGGCTGGGCGTCCTGGCCAGGCGCCCCACCTCTTCTGGTTTTTTTTTTAAATTTTTTTTTTAAAAAAAACCCTACCACCGTGAGCCGTCCTTCCCTCCGCCTCTGTGGCCGCCAAGTCCTTGCCTTGCCGCCTCAACATTGTCGTATTTTCGGGTGATTAGAGTGTGGGTATGGGTTAGATTTTTTTTTATTTTAGGTTTAGGGCAATAAGGTAAATTCAATATAGATTTGTGGGCTTTATGTGGAGATTTGCGGGCGATGTTTAGCAATCCACCTAAAAAAATGTTTAACAACCACAATTTTTTTATTTTTTTATTTTCTGATTTTCGTTCCAAAATTTAACGGCCGTGATTTGCCTACCACTTCTCTCCTACACGGCTTAAACTCCAAAAGCGCAGAAAAATCTCCCCTAAATTCTGTAATTGCGTCGATTACAACATTTTCCAGAAAATTTAGACCTCAAAAAACTCGTAAAAATGGCGTCTTCCTCTGTTACACTTCAATATTCTTCAACAGTTTGTCGATTACCCAGTAATTCTTCCACTTCATTGAGCTTTAATCAAATCCCCTTTTCAGTTTCCTTCCCATCTAATCTTAAACGCTTTGGTCGTCTCTCTATTCGATCATCTTCTGCTTCTGGTATTCTTTCTCACTTAATCTTTGCTTTTTGTTGGTTCAATCAATTTATCTGGGATATTTTGTTTGATTTTTCATCTGTTCTGTGTTTATGGCTGTATTAATTTTGTTGGTTAGCTTGAAGTTTTTGTGGGGTGTTTTATAGATGGTATTTTTTTGACTAATTTGATATTGTTTGCTACTGTATGGTGTGATTTTGATCGGATCTCAGTATGTTCTAATTGGGTTTTGTGAATATCTATGCTTTTGAAATTTAGTGTTGTATACTGTATGATTTGATGCTATCTACTGATTCATCAGCTAATTTGAGCTAGCAGTTCTTTTGTTTTTATTAAATTAATAGTTTTGAGTATGGTAATGCATGCTTTGAACCCTAGTTTTATTGATTAGGGATTTTGAGGTTTCGAATCGAAATCCTTGTATGTTAGAGGTATCTCTAGAAATCTGATTATAGCTGTATAAACCTAATAAGGGTTCATGAATATTATAGTCTGTGGTCTGGTTTTCTCCAGGAATATGTTGGTTGAAATCATTGAATTCTGGCTTGCGAACACGATTAAAGATAGAAAAATATTCCAAATTGAATGGCAACATAAATTTTTGGCAACAGACTTCTATTTTTTAACAAGAGGGAAGAAAATGTTTTGTGTAGTTCTGTAGTTTTATTTACTCTAAAGTCAACCTACATCAACCCTAAGAAACTATAAGGGGAAAAAACTAAAGCTCATGCTTCAGCTGAGTAGTAAAGAAGTGAGACATTGTAAACCACTTGTGATTTGGTGAAAGTGAAAATCGAAGCTATATCAAAATTCCATTTATGACGTTAGATATTGAGCTGACAGTAGGCTATGTTGTAGAATTGAATGACATCCTCCATATTAGGTTTGAGGAAATCCATGGTCTCATTGTGGGGAACCATTAGCTATTACCCTACACTTAGCACCCACTTCCTCATCTTCTTCCTCAATTTCTTCTTTTCTATTAGTTCCTTGGTTGTATCTGATTACCCTTGAGATTGGAAGATCATCCATATTATATCCATCTTATATTATTTCAGGCTAGGTCACTAGTGCCTCTTTCCAAAAATAGACCTTTCCATAGGTAGAGTCCTTTCATTATCATCTCCTATTTGTTGTTTACGATGAGGCTCTTTGAAGTGTTTCAAAAAAAAAAAATAAAAAAAATGAGGCTCTTTGAAGTTGCAACAGCTTGAATTTTAAATGCATATAGCTCCAATATTTAAGTTTGGACATCAGTGTGCCTGGATTTGGGATGTCTTTTAAGTTTTAACTCATTATCTCGATGAATCATATTGCGCATATTACTTTTAGGAACTGGAGAATCTGTTACAGCTTACAAAAATCATCTAGAAAGAGATGAAAGAGAAGAAAGTCCTCTATGTTTTTAATAAAAGATTTGAATTAGCTAATTATTTATAGTTGGATAGGTAAGATCCATGCAGGTGTCAGAGAAAAATAAGTAGCAAGTGCTTCTTGTGTATCTGCAATTTGTCTGGTGTTTTTTAACTTACGGGAAATACCAACTAGGCACATGATATGTAGCTTTTTGTCTTTGCAGCACATCTAAATTCTGTATATGTCAATCCAGGAGATTGTGATTAGATGGGTATATATTGATTCATAGCTAGGATTCTCAAAATTCAACTTAGGTAATATTATAACTGCTGCAAGTTTCAAGGGGGGGCCATTGACATGGAAGCCTAAGTTGCAAGAGTTGCTCATTATGTATAGGAATGGAATGCTTTGCCCTGGGATGATTATTTTATCACGATAAATCTTGGAAAAAATCTCATCTTTCAACCTCTACTTGATGTTACACTCTATATGCAGTGCCATTGGATATGGGATATTATGAATCCATGTCACAACTTCAGAAAATGTTTGCATAAAATTATAGATATGGATATGCTAGATAAATTAAACATAGAACTAAATAATGTTTTAGTTTGCTGGTGCTCCCAGAAGTAGTCAGGAAGGAGATCTGTTGTCCGGTCCTACTTTTTGGGGCTCATTCCATAAGAGATGAGTAAGAGAGGAATATACACTGAAGTAATAGTGTGATAAGTAGTAGCCTGTAGATCAAAATTATCTTAGATCCTAGGAAAATACCAGTGCGGAAAGAGTGGAGCTCGCTCACAAAATTCATAGTTTTGGGACTCTTCATTTAGTTTAAGGTATTATTTGAATAGAATAAGAGCATCTTAGTCTTTGTGATATAGCTGATAATAGTGACAAAAAGATAAAGGCATTAGGCAATGTCTGCGATTCTGCTAATCAAAGGGCTGTATATATATAACCTTGTTTTTACCTCAATTTATTGAGGAAGCTAAAATTATGCTACATTTTGAAAAGGCTATACAAGAGAAAATTCCTTAAAATGGAGATAAATCATAAGTCTTGTATATCTTTTGCTGAATTTTGACTTTGTATATTGACAGGCTATCACTACTCTCCATATTTCCAACTCACTATTTTTATGCTCTGTTAAGTTTCAGCAGCACCAGTCGAGGGCTTGGCTCCAGCAATATCTCTAACTGACAATGCAGTGAAGCATTTGAAAAGAATGAGGTCTGATCGGAATGAGAACTTGTGCTTAAGAGTTGGTGTTAAACAAGGTGGATGCTCTGGCATGTCTTACACAATGGATTTTGAGAGCAGTGAGAACACAAAAGCAGATGATTCTGTGATTGAGGTCAATGGTTTCACTATCGGTGAGCATTAAATACTTTAAATAGTAGTGTCAACACCCCTTTCATATCCCCCCCCCCTTTTTTTTTTTTTTTTTTAAATCTAGCACACATGAGAACGGGGAAAATATGCCTAATATATCTAGTTACAAACTTACAATTCACCCCTTCGTATCCTTTTTATTTTTCGCTTGTGCATTATCTTTCGTGGAGCTTTTCTAGATGTTGCTTGTAACCTTAGACCTAGTAGACCCCCTTCTTCCCTGGTTATTCTCTGAAACAATACATGCATATTTGATGATTATCTTTAGGAAAATTTGCAAATTGCAACCATTCAAAGTTCGTATTTTGCAAATTGCAGCCATTTAATTTTTTTTTTGCAAATTGCAGCCCAAAAGTTCATATAAATTGTAAATTGCAGCCCGATTCAACTTTTTCATCGGTTTACAAGTTGAAAAATCTTCGATTAAGGTTTTAGGGGCTATTTTAGTCCTTAGGGGTCCGAATTGAGCTCGGAATGAGCAAAAAAATAATGCAAGTATCTCGTTTTGCATAACAAAAATGCATCGATTTGTGGGAAGCTGTAAATATGAGACATTTACGTTATTTTTTTGCTAATTCCGAGCTCAATTTGGGCCCTTAAGGGCTAAAATGACCCCTAAAACCTTAACCAATGATTTTTCAACATGTAAACAGATGGAAAAATTGAATCGGGCTGCAATTTACAATTTATACGAACTTTTGGGCTGCAATTTGCAAAAAAAATAATTTAAATGGCTGTAATTTGCAAAATACGAACTTTAAATGGCTGCAATTTGCAAATTTTCCTTATATTTAATACTTGTTATGTGTTTGCAGTTTGTGATCCAAAAAGCCTATTATTCCTGTACGGAATGCAGCTTGACTATAGTGATGCACTTATCGGTGGAGGCTTCTCTTTCCAAAATCCAAATGCATCAAAGACTTGTAGTTGTGGAAAATCATTTGCAGCGTAGGCTTGAAACTATATGTACATAACATACGCAATGTATGGTGTAGCTTTGATTTGTTGGATTGTGGATACATGGGCATTATGTTAGCGTGTTGAGTCTTTCAGACGGTGAATTATGTTAACTTGTCCTCAAGTCTCAGCATGAAATTATTCTTTACTTTCATATGTATCTTTTGGATCTAGATCATGACTCAATAGAGACAATACTGCTTATCACTTCTGTTCAGCAAAGTTCACAAAACGTGCTACTTTTAGACATGAAGATACCATTTAAGTGAATAAATAGTACAATTAGATGATTTAATATGTATTATAATACCTTTTGATGGTGTATATCATGATATGTTTCTAGTATTAGGAGTACAAACAAAGTTTAATGAAAAGACAAATTCCAATGGTACTAATGTGATACCTGATGGTACCATTAAGCTTCCAATAATATTACTCCGTATATATGTTTGTAATGGTATACAAATATACCATTTAAATTTAATGATTTATAGAAAGACCAATATCGTCTGGTTTGTTCGTGAACATACCAAATATGTACTCAGAACTAATCTTTGCCTATGACAGTACACTTGCATACTACTATTGAAACAAAGCAACGGTAGATAAGCTTTTTGAAACTTAAAATGGAAATATATACACAGTGGATGATTAGTGTAAATTAATATACAAACAAATTAATTTATCAACTTATTAGTAGTGCTTATTTCAGTTGTAAATTGATTTGTTTTCATGAACTTATCCAATCTAGAAATAATATGAATTTTATGAATTTTCTTATGTAGTTGGTTAGGGCATGTAATACAAAGACCTAAGGTGCATCGGTACAAAGAGTGGGACCATAAAGGGGTTAAAAGAGAGACGGAAAATGACTTTGTTGGAGAGAGGAAGGTTATGAAGTATTTGCATTTACATGAGTACGAGGTAATTGATCACAAGGGATAGAGGAGGAAAATTTTTGTCAGTATTTATACGGAATAATCACTTTTAGTTCATATAGCAAACTCCACTTATGAGATTAAGACTTGATTGATTGATTGTCACCTCAAATAAGCTGTACATATTCAAAATGTATGTAAATTGTAGTCATCATAACTTTTTTAAGCAATATCATGTGCTCAAAAACCAGTATTTCTAAATTATCACATCTCAAAAACCATTCAATTGATATATATTCTGCGCATTTCCTGGCAGAACAAAATCCAATTTATTTCAAAACAAAATGGGAGAAAAGGTGGGTATTTCTGCCAATGAGCTGAACAACTACAGCCTTCAACTCTCCTCTCCAACAAGTGTTTTTACACAGCAAATAGTCAAATTTCCAAGCTAGAATCTCAGATGAAGTTTCGGATGTCCAATGACTTGGGATCAACCATTTGCTCGTCCTGGAATTCCTCCCTGAATAAGGAAAGAAGTTGACAAGGAAAAGTAAGTTCCAAATAAGTAAAAAAGGCAAATGGAGAGATGCATAAGCACTCAATAGTCTCATAGAGCTAATGCTTGCTAATATCTTGTTTGGCAAACAGCATTTAGCAATGACTAAAAATTGCTATAACCATGCAATTTATCAATGACTAAAAATGCTTGCCAATATCTTGTTTGATAAATGATAAATAGCATTTTCATTAATGAGCCAAAAGTTTCTTGTATATAGGAAGCAGCATATTAAAAGCAAAAACCATCAGCATACATGTTTTTTTTCTTCCTCTCACCGAGCTAATTCGTTCAGAATCCTGGTCAATAGAAATCATATTTGCTTTACTAGGATTACTAGCTCCTAAGCAATTGGAAGTCATTGACAGGGAGGTAATCAGGTAACTCTAGCAACATACAATCAACTGCAATATTGCAAATCTGAAGGCTCAAATATGAAGGCTCTTCCTACAATATTCAATACCTCAACAAGTATAACATAATTCTGCCTCAATCTTATTTGCTTAAAAAATTCAGCACCATATAAACAGTATGGCATAATATCCCTAAATTACATCCACGTTATAATTATTCCGCAATAAGTTCGTAAAAAGATGAGCAATTTAGGTGGAAACCAAAGTACTATTATATCAGAAGTGGGAAATCAATAACCAAGCAAGTAAGTTTCTCAGACAAGAATATATTGAGAAATTTGGATCACAAACTAGTTTATGTACAGTAATTAATTTTGTAATAATCAGAGAACAGTGATATACGACCACTCAAGGCCAAATTGATAGTTTCGACTGGCATCATCTGTCATACACAGTAGAGTAAGAAAACTAGCACTTTTGATGAGATTTCCCAGCAAAGCAACAGATGTAGATGATTAAAGAGAAAGTAAACCAGTTCAAGTCTAATCCTTTACCCATAAGAAATACCAAAAGAGAACTAGAATAAAAAAGACTAGCTGAAAATCATGGTATTTTGAGCTTGCTGCCTTTAGGTTACTGTGGGTTTGCTGCTAATGATACTTGGGAAAGAAACGCTTACACGGTAACAAGTAGAGGGTTCTTGAAAAAATATTAAAATTTTATCTAAATTAGATTTACTAATCAAAAAGAAAAAGGCACGCAATGATATGAATAAACCACCAATGATAAAATGCAAGTCATTAATGAAAAAAAATAGCAACGTACTTCTTTGCTTGAGTTTCCATTGCCTCAGTGGTCTCCTTCTTTAACTCTTCAAGCTGTGCCTTTGCAATTTTAAGTTCCAGCTGTTCCTCATATTTGGGTAAATCATTTGGGTTTATTCCAAGCCTGTTTTAACAGACAGATCCATAATTATATCAGATAGATCATCAGTAATTGCCCAAAGATGCATATACTCAAACATCTTTTTTTTAAGAAGACATAAAATCATATAGGACCTATTCATCTCCTACATGAATACTCTGTATTTGTTTTCTACTACACCCAACAAAGAGAAAGGGGAAAATTTTCAAGTAAGCAAATTCTTTGCAATTTAATAAATTTGAACACTCAATTTGAAATATCAAAATAGATGGAAAGTCCATAATTTTTTTTTTTTTGACAAATATACTCTTCTTAGTTTCAATGCCCTTCTTGTCCAATTCTATTATCAAGTTGATTAGTGTGTACATCAGTATGCATGACTTTAGAAGGATAGATACCACAGCATTACACCAAGGATCAAAGCTTGCCTAAAATTTGAAGAATCACAGATGATAATGAAGACAACAAGAGGAGACTTGTTCAAATCCATCAATCTTCCTTATTTGTTTATTTTCAGGAACCTCAGGTTGGTGAACAAAGAGCAGTTGAAATTTTCAAAATAGTTTAAAGCGTAACTTACTTCTTGTTGATCTTATCAAACTCAGCCATTAGAAGACTCATTCCTTGGTTGTCATTTCTCACAAGAGGTTTCTTTAGTTGTTTTTCAACTTTATCTAAAGCATCAAACATCATGGCCTCAGCACCAAGTTCATCAGAAAGACCCCTCCTGCACAGCATTATGCCAAATAGAATTAGTCTCAAGAGATAAAACATCACTGGTAACTACAAAGAATATACAGATAAGGGGGACATTACAGCAAGGAAAGCATTCAGAGAATTGTACACATACTTGAGTCGTATCTCCTTCAAAGTCAAAAGATAAGTACGAGCATCCTGAATATTCTGAGTTCGGGTTTGGATTGTGTATTGAATCCTCTGTGACTCTGAGAAGAGATCTGCCCTGTTTAGTCAAATGGTTCAAAAAAAAAAAAGAATGATGAGAACTGAAAACACAGAAAAATTATCAAGAATTCCCAATATCAAGCAACTAGACACAGATTAAGCATCCAGGCTCTCTTAAGTGACAAACAATGCTCCCACAATCTCTTGTACAGTTTACATTCCCACAACCAGTAATCAGAAGTGAAAATATATCAGTTGTAAGCTAAAGTAAGTTACAAGCAGGCACGCAGCCTCCCATGCAACTCACTCTTATACTGTCCTAACTACAAACACATGATACTGTTAATACTAATCCTGCATACCTTTTTATTATGTCATGAAGTTCAATTTCTAGTCATTTAGAATATAGGAAATTGATGTGGTGTGAAGTATGTGATGCAATGATTAGTAAAGACCTTATAAAGCAAAATGTGTTGAGCATGAAGCAACCTACTAATCAAATCTCAGCCTATAACTCAAATCTAAGATGCAAGTTCGCATTACCATTGTCAAAAACATTGGTCTATCATAGAGAGGAATCCAAGGAAGCAATGCTAAAGGGAAAACAAATGAACTAAAAAAATAGGGCAGAATTATTATTTTACAAAATAAATAAATAAATAAAATGATAGAGACATACTTTTCTCTTACAGTCTTCATGACATTAGCGTATTGTTGTACAGCAGCAGGATCCTCTGGGGCTATGGTGATCTTTTCTTGACGAAGTACACCAAGAGCAGTCTCAAACTTCTTTTTAACGTCCAAAAAAATGCCCTTAAGCATCTCTTTTCAGTCGAGCATCATTATCAAGAAAAAAGAAGACAAGTTAATCATTAAGAAAAACAAATTGCTTCATTTAATTTTCTAAAAGAAACAAAACTTGATAAAAGGATCATCACTATATAAGATGATTTATTTTTTTTCTAGTACAAAATATGACTCACCATCTCCCTTTAGAGCCTTGGGAGCGGGAGCAGCTTCTTTGGCATAGTAACGAGCAGGAATCACATTGTCCTTTGGTAAAATAGTCTGAATAGTATACAGCTGTAGAAATCAAATCAACATATCATAAGTTAAATGAACAGAAAAACTAGGGAATTATGGATTTATATCAGAAAGCCTGCAATACTACAAACAAACTACAAGAATCAAGCACAAGAGCCCTGTTAAAGCTAATACTCGTTAAGTAAATCATAGCCCCAAAATGCAGTCAAACAAACGTATAAATCCCAGTCCAAGCAAGGAAATGTATCTACAACTCCCAAACCCCCCAAAAATTATTAGCAATACGAAATCATCGCTGCAATAAGAACCAACACTTTACGGCTAACAAATGTTTCTATAACATTGTTTCCATGTTCCTTCCCAAAACATATTACCAATACATTAGCACATTCATATATTCAATTAAGAACAGCTCCAACAAATCAAAATCATATACATTTCTCTAAATAAGCTGAATTACGAAAAATCAAAATCCGGCATCACATTGCCACTAATCCAATTTCTGTACTAAGTGAAAACAAAAACCCTAAGACCAATAAAATTAACAACTCAATCTAACAATTGTTTCATAAAAAAAAAAAAAAAAAAAAACCTGAATTTATTCAATTACACCCCATTTCTCGGAATATCAATACAAATTTAGGACATGTAAAGTTTAAATTCATTACATAGCCTAAATCGAACCAACATTTTTATGAGTCAACGATCAAAAGATCATGAACAAATCGTAAGGAACAAAATTAAAATTGCAGATCAAAATGTAGCATATAAGTCGAAGATTTTGAAATCGGATTATGAATAGAGAGATAAAAAATAGACCTGCTTAGATTTGGAGAGGATGCGAGAAGCGAGCGCCATTATCGAAGAGCAACGAGTTGAGTATTGAGTATGAAAGCTGGAAATCTAGGGTTTGATTTTACGAACCAGTTGAGAGAGAGAGAGAAAGGGGCCGATTAAAAGATCAATAAAGCTTCACTTAAATCAGGACCGTCCGTCTCAGGTGTGTGTTATTGTGTTGATGTTTAATTTCATTTCATGAATTTTTTGTTTTTCTTTTTAAAAAAATTTGGTAAAAATAATCTAAACCCGACAATCGATATTAGTCCTATAAAATTATACTAGTAAATGGTAGGATTGTTGCACTTTGACCCGGATAAATACTCAAATCGGCCCATAACACCATCCACGTGGAGACCTGCTTTCGACCACTTGGACACTTACCACCCACTTGATAAGACATACATGAGGGGCAACACGTGGCACCTTCTTAGAGGAGTTAGATAAATACCCTAACATCTCACTTCTAAGTTCTAAGGTACACAATTATAAACATAACACACTATTTCTTAACCATATTGAATCGGTATTGGCTTTATTATCAAAGCGGTTTTCATCTGACAAAACCCCAAGGGTAGATGATCTACGTTGATTGTGCAGTAAAATATTAGGCGATAAACCATTACCGGTTCACATACAAGTTAACGAATCACACCGAAAACAAATAGCCGTCCAATTCCTAAATGAGATCATTTTACAAAACTTACCAAGGGGCAAATTAGTAACAAAAAACACTAACATTACCCTCACAGCCTCACCCCTTATAAAGATGTGTACTCCATATTAAAGATTAATCAACAATTTTATTACATTCTTTTTCTCAATTTTATGAGATCTTCCTAAAATTTCAATTTAACGCAATTATATGATTTATATCTTCTCCTCCCAGATCCAAAGTTGAATCCCTATCCTAAAGTAAAGCCTGGTGAACAGTGATAGAGCAAAAGTTAAGTTTTTTAGTCAAGACATTAGTAGTTTTGGTAAAGGTTTTTACAACAGCATAGTCTAAGGGTCTGTTCTCTTCAGCTTAATTTCAATTCGGTTCAGCTCCAACCAGTTCAGTTCAGCTCCAATCAGTTCAGTGGATTGATAAGATTGAAGCTATTAATACAAACAGAACAAGTAAATTTGGTTTGATAAGATTTTTAGACTGAAAACCATTTATCTTCATCATTGTGCCCCAAAGAAAAATTTGGAACTCTAGCAAATTGATGTTTCATTTTTATGTGCCCAAGAGAGCCAACGAGACAAACAAAGCAGTTAAAGAACACCAGAACAACACTACAAGCAAGGTCGGGCGAAAAATCCAACACCATACAATACGGCCTATAAAACAAATGTAGTCCAGAAATAAACCAGAGTTCTGCAAGATCCCTTGCTCAAATGCCCAATATGGCCTATGTAACAAATGTAGTCCAGAAATACACATGCTCAACATACTTATTCCTCTGTACAGAAAGTTGTTTGTGCTGCATGGTCAATAACTTGATATTCACAGTAAATCACAGACTTGCAACAAAACTTTTTCAACATCTACTTTTGTTTCAACACTTTATTAAGCAAGCAGCTCATGCTATATATCAACATCTTGATCAAAAGAAGGAAGCTTGTTCACAAAATTTGCCAGATACCCCTTTCTGAAAACAGGAATCGAGAATCAAATTATTCGTCACACAAACAATGGTTAAGAATTTATCAATTGAATAACTAAAAATGCCAGGGCATACCGTGCAGCAAGGTCATCATTGGGACGGTTATGAGGTGTCCAAACTGGATCACCAACAAACAGTCGCATAGCCTACACAAAGTTGAGCTAACTTAGGATAACAGTAACATTAAAAAAGAAGATGTAATATACACAATTGCAAGGGTCGTGGATGAAAAGAGATTACACGATTACATAAGAAACATATAGACCAAGTAGAAGCTGAAACACGCTAATTCAAGAAAAGTTTGGAGCTCTGTTAACAGATTTGTGTTATTGAACCAGGCCACCATAAGTCTGCTTATAATATTAACGAGTTTGGTTTATAATTTTTTTAAAAAAAATATTTTTATATTGTCAATTCTCAAAAACAATTTGTCATGACAGTATGACACACAATACATGATTTTTGAAATTTTGAAATCACAATGACTAAAAGTACCAGTAACCATACCTTGATATAATTGTCTGAATCTAGAGTAAACCGGTGGTAAATTCCTGCAGGCAATACAATCATTGCACCTTTCTTCACCCATATGCGTATCCATTTATCATCACGATCCCTTACATCAAAATACCCTTCAACAAAGTATAATATGCACAATATTATCAGTTTTACAGCTCTACATGAAAAGGAAAAAAAAAAAAAAATGCAACAGAGAGCTGAAGATACAAGCTCAACATAGAGCTACTTAACCTACCACTTCCAGCTACACAGTAACGGATTTCTTCATCAGTGTGCAGATGTTCCTCGAAAAAGTGCTTGATCTTCTCATCATAATTTGGAAGCTTTTCAGGGCAAACCTCACAGAAGTCCTTAAGGCATAAAGAACAGCATAAACGAAGGTAATATAAACCACACTTAAACCATGATAATCTTATAAGAATATATAAGCAGGAATTAAAAAAGAAAACCATGTAGGAATATCCACGAGCTTCACGAATTTTCTTCAATTCCTCACAGTTTCATAATTGTCAGCATCCAATCTCCAACTGAGAACCCCAAGGTCTACAATTTACAAGAGAATTAACAATATTTAACTTGCAATATCAATAAATATTGCACATTTTGTAAAGCGATTCATGTCACTTACCATCAAGATGCTTTAAAGAAACAAATTGTTTAGGTTCTTTGTGATGTGGAAGCCTCTGATCCTCATCACTGTCATCCATGTACCATGCTTGGATGACTCCTACTCTGGGATCCTGCACAACGTGAAGAATCAATCATATCGTGACATAGTATTATCATAATTCAAGTCAATATACCTTGATATATGAGAATCCCATGCAAAACATAATTGACTAAATAATATTTCACTCTTCTCCTATGTTCTTCTGGCCATGCTTCCTACATTCTAGAATTTGTTACTTCTATATACACCCAGTTGTACCGTACACTCGGGGTCATTTAACGAGCAAATAATATTTTTACTCATTTTGTTGGTTGTATATATATAAGCCAATGACCTCAGGTGTACATAATAAGCATAAAGAACCAATTCTATGATGAGCATTATCAGTTCACGGAATTCACCCTCTAAAGAACCAAATCATCGCAGTGACTAAAACCAGGATTTTATTCATCTAATCATCAAAATGAGTCTTCGGTGCACCTTGCACTCGGGTGTACACAACCCTTTGAGTAATTTACAATGAAATTCAATAATATACTAACGAAAAAACAAATGTAAACGATATCATTGTTCACATATCCATTCTCAAATATATTAGGGAGCTGATATCAATAGAGATTCAAGCCCTAATTTAGGAAAATTATAATATTACAACTCATCCAATTATAATATTTATCAAGAAAAGAACCAAAACCCTTAAGACTAAAAACCTAATAACAATATCCCATTCAACCAATTGTTTCGAAATAATTCAGAATTTGATGAACTGCAAAATTCATTACAAAACCTAAATCGAAATAGCATTTATTTGCTTCAAAGATGAAAAGATTATGTGCCAATCGCAAAGAACGACTGTAGATCAAAATGTAGCATATAAATTGAAGAATTTGAAATGGAGTAAAAAAGGAGAGAGGAAAAGAAATTGACCTGCGTAGGATTAGAGCGACAAGGAAAAGCGCGCGCCATTTTCGAAGAGCTTGAGTTTGGAGTATCAAAATCGGGAAATTATAGGGCTATGTTATGAACCAGTGGAACAGAAAAAAGAGAGAGGAGGGGTTTTTAAGCAGGGGATTTGGAGGGGAAAGGGTGCAGTTACTAGTTAGCAAAAGTAAGAGTCACATGATTAGCACACTAGGGTCAATGCCAGAAATTAGACGGTCAATGTGGAAAATTAAGATTAGTGGGTAAGTTTATGTGCTAGATAAACGAATTTTTGTTAATCTTGGTATTTTTGTAATATATTGAAAAAGCGTGGTCATTTATTTATTACTTACGGGCTGTCTAATTACTGTTCGCAACTTGCATTCACTGTTTGGTGAGGAAATTACACATGTACCCCTAAACTAGTATATGAAAAGACGCATATACCCCTCCACTGATAGTTGAAAACACATTTATACCCCAAATAAACAAATTTTGTTTGATTGGACACATCTCAAAAAAAAAAATTGTAAAATCAGGTCTAAAGTAATGTAAATAATAATAATAAAAAAGTTAACAGATTGTCTTTAAAAAAAAAAAAAAAAAAAAGAGTAATCAAGTATAAAGTACAAAAATAAAATTAAAATTAAAAAAATTAGTGTTATAAAATATCGTGGATGATCATTATGCTCCTTATATCATTCCGGAATATTCTAAATATATGGTTTATTCTTATCTAAACATATTTGTGGATGTCCAACTTGTATCACTCTAGAACTTTCTAGAGTTTAGGGCTTATTATTCTCCAAGCAAACACTATATATATATATATATGGTTCAAAGCAAACACTATATACTCCATTATATAAAATTATGATTTATTCTTATCTAAACATATTTGTGGATGTCCAACTTGTATCACTCTAGAACTTTCTAGAGTTTAGGGCTTATTATTCTCCAAGCAAACTTTATTAATTATACTATATATATATATATATATATATATATATATATATATATATATATATATATATATATATATATATATATATATATATATATAAGTAGAATACACATTTCAATTCCCTCTCAATCTTTTATATTTCTCCTTGTTATTTTTGACAATTTTCCTGTAAAAAATGACCCATAATCAAGTCCTTCAACCTATTTATATTTAGATTATACAAAAACCAAACTCGTTTACTAAATCTAGTCTAGATTAATCTACGATAATCACTTCACAATAGTCACTATAATAAGTTTTGATCATCCATATTAATTTATACTTCCATGAGAAATCCGGTCACCTAAAACTGATAACTCGTTCTATTTTTCAGTACTCCATACTCTTTTCAGTACTCTATATTCGCATTAAACTTCTCAATCTTGCATCAAACCTGAACTTAATTATCTACTTGGAATCCAACACTATTTTTTCATAGATGGAACCAATTTATATTGTGTGAGGATGTAAATCACGAGTAAACTATTAGCAGACTTTGTTTTTTTAAATATCAGAGTGTAAAAACAAGCAAAAGAAAACAGGAAATTAAGGACAAATACCAAAAATCAATGTAAGTATTACCTACAATACAGACGTGTGCAAGAAAAGCTTACAAGGAATAATAAAACTCTCTTTTTTCTAAAACAAACTACGTGCACCTAACATTTGGGGTGAGTAGTCAAGTACTAACCACATGAGACAAAATTGTGCATCCCTTGATGGTAAATCAAGGATGGAAGCAATTGAATGACATTTCCGAGTGATTCAACCACTACACTCGAGGGGGCATTTCTCTGCTCTCCTAATCAAGCTAAATGAAGCATCCTGCAATTGAAATGCATGTCATTCTACAGCCCTGGAGAATCATGTAACTCTTGATGTTAATGATGATTGTTCTCTTTGTATACATTCTCCCCTTGGACTTCCGCTTATGATTCTCTCTTGTAAGTCTTCTCCTCTAGGATCCCCACTTATGATTTTCTCTTTTTGTTAGATTTGTTGCCACGCTCATCTTTACTCCTTTTCTTTTCATTCTTACTGTCGCTAACCCTGCTCTTCTTCTCTGGCTTACTTTTGTTGGATTTAACACTGACTAAGCCACTTGAGGATATCTTTCCACCAAGGGTTTTCTCAAAGTCAGCCTCTACGGCAAATTGTTGAAGCAACTCAGGATCCAACAAGCCTTCAGCCTTGGCCTTCATGTCACTCTGATACAGCAACCAGTCTTAGCGCAATTGTAAAAAAATGGAAACATAGGAGTTTAAGCAGGCACAGACTTAATCAGATTACCTTCACTTTCTTTGACGCATTGTCTAGATCCTCCTCTAAAGTTATTTTGTGAGGTTCCATCACAATCTATAAAAGAAACATTTGGTAAGAATGAAGACATCACATTTAGTTGTTACAATTTTGATAGTAAACATCAGTAAGTAGGGTTTATGGCATCTCTTTATGAAAATATGAGAGCTGATATTAAACTTTAATCTAACATAAAAATATACCATATACAACCATGACCATTATGTGAGAATGCATAGGAAATTCATCTTAATTCCAAATTCAAGGCCAGAATTCTTGGAATTTCCTTGACTTACTTCTTTTAGACGGGGAAGGGCTGATTCAACGTCTTTGGTAGCAATACCATACAAGTATTTGTGGAACTTCTTCATCCCTTTTATAAACAATGACAATATTTGCTGCCTTTCAAGTTTCATCTGACCCTGAAAAACGGCAAAGGAGATACATTAGCAAAGTATCACATACTAATAATTGCACATCTAGGATCTGTCTATGCGACAAGCTTTTTTCAAAAAATACTCATACATTTATCCAAGTTCATCATTTACCGTAATACTTGTAAGAGAATCAAATTTGACAACAATCAATAGTTTTGCTCTAAATGGAGACATCATCAACATGAAAACCTTTCCAGATGCACAGGTAATCCTATCTCCATTACATATTAGTTGCATCTTTGAGTATTATTTGTAAGAGATAAAATATTCCAAAGTTGCAACTAATATGTAACGGAGGTAGTACAATTAATTTGTAAAGATTTATTTATCAACAGCAAAGACAAGAGATGGAACCTCGATGTATGATACGTCTTGATTCTGCAAGCCAATACAGAGCAAAACTGATGCCTGGGCATATGACAATGTAACAGGTACCCTCTCTTGAAAGTATAAATGTGAAAGGACAGGAACAAGGTCTAGGATCTGTAGAAAGCAATAGCAAATAAGATATAAGAAATCCAGAAGAAAGCCCATTTCTGTGCATGGTGGTTATCAAACATCTGATGATGCATCAGCAGATTTTATTGAAATCAGTCCAAAGATGCTTTAAAAGGTAGTACATGATATTTCGAATGACTGACAACAATAAAATATGAAAAGAAAAAAAAATCCGAAAAAAGGGAATCCTAAGATTCCTACCATATGATACACTACCAACAAGTGTTCTCTGATCATAGACCTCTCAAGTTAAACTTCCATTTGACATATAACTCTTTTTCTTTGCCTGAAATTAATTGGCAGATATGATTCTATAATTATAATTATGATTTGGTCAAAAGAGTCATCCTTCGATTTCTCAGATGAACATCCATGCATAGCACATCAGTGAATATATAGCTCTTTTGAAAATGCAAATACTAACTTCAAAGGTCTCTCAAAATAATAGCATCTCCATGTTCTATTTTTATTATTTCTAAAGATTAATCCCTTATTCCCTTACCTATAGAGGCTTCTAAAACATGAATATCAGCCATTGCACTTACTCTTTAGTGTCTACAAATTGAAATATATGTTAAAACTTTTCATCAAAGTATTTCCCATTTTAAGCTTCCCTCCAACCGTCTTTCCCTACAGTATTGTTTATATTGTGTGTCGAACAAGACATTTGGACAGCTTTTAGACAAGTTCCTCTGTCATCCCCTTAGTGTGGTCCCAACATCTCAATATGCAACCTAAGAAAAAAAAAACTAATTCCCTTTTTTTTTCATACTCACTAATTCATGTCCCTTGAACAGCCTATATACACAGAAAGCCTCAAGCGACTTAATTGTCAACTCTTCACTGAGAACAAAAAAATGAAATATGCATGTGACCCCCCCCCCCACCCTGAAGATTCACATTACAAGATTTTGGGGGGGGGGGGGGGAGCTGCAAGGAAAATACTAGGCCAAACTGGTTTAGATGGAGAGGAATTAAAAAAATGGTTTCGTGGAGAGAAATAATAAGGTTGTTGAGAAGGTTACTAATCATGACAGAAAAATGGTGGTTGTGAAGGAGACCAAAAAAAAAAAAAAAAACTGGTGCGTGAAACAGAGCTCTACATCACAAGGGATAAGGAGCTTTTATTTTCATTCAAGTAAGAGGAATATCAAAATGAGACAGACCAGAATGGTTACGTGGAAAATCAAATTGGAAGGGGGTAATAAGGAGCTTTTCTACTTTATTACAGGAAGGAGGGACCATAAATAAGCTAGCAAGCTAGATGCTTCTTTGAAAAGTAAATCTGCAAAATACTACCAGACGGTAATCAGCAAGATTGTCTACGTAAGCTTGCAATCTCTTCATGTCATGAGGTGATATATACTCCTCTATAGTCTTCAAAAACCCATCCATGTTCAACCCTGATGATTCTGACTCTGCAAAGTTGATTTTTGGGTCCAATACACTGTAAAAGAAGAGCAAATCAGAAACTTGATTCTTCAATGAATTAACATGCAGACGCAGTCAATAGAATTGCTAACCTCATTGCAAGCTTGTACTCCATGGAGCGAAATTCATTGGAACAGAGTAATCTACTAAACCTTTGCTTGAAATCTAAGGATGAAAGAACAATCAATAATGATCCCCGCACATGAAAGAAGCATTCATCTCATTTGGAGAATGACTCACCTCGATAAAACGGAGCCAAGAATCCCAATTGATCAGATGCATCAACTTCAATATCATCATTATGTAATGGCTTTAAGACCATGCAAGTATGTTCTCCAGTCACAGCATTCTGATTTAGCACACAAATGACATCCACACACACAAACACAAACTTCCATTAGCACAAGCAAGAATATAATATGAACTTGACGAAGAATAAAGGCAGTTGTTGAATCTTCTTAGTTTTTCTCAATTATGTCTGACTCATATTAGGCAGGATGACAAATCAAATACTACCTCCATTCTCTTTCATTCTACTCTTTCCATTCTTATTTGTTATTCTACTCAATCTACTTTATTCTACTTTAGGCATACCCCTTTACCAAGTTACACCTCTTATCCCACAATTACTACACCTTTCCACACATTCTTACTTTCTTCATCTTTTACTTGCACAGTAACACCCATTCAACGTTTCACAGTCATAATATATCTCCTTAATCAAATTTTTCTTTAATTATGTATCTGCAATAACCGAGTAAAACATAAAGGAGCAGAACATATTATAATCCAATATATAGGTGGAATATGAATCCAGATATAACAAAACTCCCTACGAATTAAAATAAAATCAATTTCATTCATCCATTACATGAAATGAGATTTAGCCTAAGTACAACTTTAAACTTTTCAAGGTAATGAACAAGAATATAGATTAAAAGCTTTACTCAGCAGATTCCATGATCAGAAGAAACTGAATTTTAAGCCTAAGACTTTTGGTTACTTTGAAACACTTTCTTCGAGTTTTATTTGTTTTTTTTTTCCTCTTCTCTTTGGTCCGTGTGTTAATATTTTACAAACCCTCCTTAGTCCAAATTCTCAAGGTACTACACCTAGAGTAACTTTGGAAGTGAAAAATCTTATACAAAGGGATGCCATTTTCCAAAAGATCATGTTGCAAATTGCTTACTTGCAACCAATATGAAAACACATGTTGCAACTTAACAGCAATTTGCGAAGCCCGTCCATAACTCCATATACAAGTCAGATTAATTATATAACCAAAACTCATAATGACAATTCAAAAGCCTCTCACACAAATGTAAAAGGTAGGAAAGTAAGAGCACTAACCGGAATCTGGCCAATATAAAATGGAACAAATTTGTGTTTCCTCCAAAATCGAAAGAGGTCAAGTGTAAGGCCAAAGGATACACCAATGTAATGCAGTTTCTCAGGACGTCTTTCACGAAGATGCATAAGTAGTGGAGGAAGGTTTGTTCTGGGCTTAATATTTTCTTCAAGCAAAGACACCTGCATAATAATATGAGAGAAATTTAGCCTAGAAAGTGTGCCTGGCATACCAACACAAATACACTAATCTCATAGGACAAGCCCATTAAAACATAGTCCATTAATAATAAACAAAACACAACTAACACCAAGCCATATAAATCCAAAGTTTCTACATAAGGTGTTGAAGCGCTATAGAAGAACGTGTGCTCGTATAAATCCAAAGTTTCTACATAGCTTCTATATCTAACCTATATATAAATCTCCCTACTCTTTGTTTATGGTTTTGTTTTTTGTTCTACTCACTTTACTTTATTCCATTTTAGGCACACAATCATTACCATCATACCCCTCTTACCCAACAATATATACACCTTCACAACCTCTCTTACTTTACCTTACAACCAGCTTTTACACCCTCTCTCTTACTAAAAGGAGCTAGTATACTTATGAGTTAAACTTTAGACATTTCAGCTTCCCACATTACTAACACCAGGCCATGTAAATAACTAGCCATGTTTATATAGTTTGTATTATGGGTTTTCTATAATCTGTCTGAAAGTAGAACTAGCAAAAGAACCAAAAAAAAAGAGAAACACCCACTTCATACAACGGCACGAAAAATAAAGCATTTACTTATTTGAGTTTTACCTTTTCTGCTGCTTGAACAATACTAACAGGTGGCTCATTAATATCCTCATCATCATCATCATCATCATCTGCTTCAGATGTGGAAGTCAACTGTCCTTCAAAGTACCTGATGGCCAGCAGCATTAAATATCAGCATGATATGGTGTGCAGTGTAGAAATGAAAATACTATGATCCAGAAGAGAGTACTGGCTCCAAAGTATATCTCATCACTTTCAAGGAAGCCTTCAAAAAGAAATAAAGCTACCAAGGAAGCAGAACAAATCAAAGAAAATAAGATATCAAATATTTGTCTCTCATTCACCAATTGTCAATCGGATATTAATATATTTTTAAATACAAGCAATGTATAGTCCTAAACTATGACAACTGCTTCATCTTCTAATTTTAAGGGGGGAAAAAAACCACTGTGGTTTTACAAAGGTTATCACAAGCAAACAAAATATTCAGGACAATGGAAAAACAAGTGGAAGTATGAACAAACAGCATCAAGTCATTCACTCGTTAATTTCTCTGAATAGTAAATAAATGAGATTCAATGCTGGGAATCCAAGGATCTGATCAGACTTATAAATGAAATGTCTTAGTCTAGGTAATGCCTTTCTATTAAGAACTTTACATAATATGGACATGGATACACAGTTGCTATGCACAGTATTCGGTGATTGCAATTGTATATGCTCTTTTCACTTTATCTTGCAGCCTTGGAAGTTGAAACATTCCAACAAGCATGGCTGCAGTATATACACATAAATCCCACAGCTTTAAATGTGGCCAACTATTAAGTTGTTTATACCTTGCCAAGAGCTCCACAGCAACTGAACCATACCCAAGCTGCAGAAAATCAGGAAAAATCCAACATTAGAGTGACAAACTCAAGATTTTAGAATAACTCAAGAAATCACAAAAACAAGAGAAAGCATTCACCCGCATGGCACTAGGATGAGTGGCTATCCGCACAATGCGTGCACCTGAGAGACTAGGGAAAACTGTCTCTCGAAATTGCTCACAAAACTTCCATGGTATTTGGTCTCCATGAGGAGAACGACCATCACTTAAGCTCCTCAGAGCAGATTTTAGAGAGATTTGTCCTTCTAGACAGACCTGCAGAAAAAATTTTAAATTCAAATAAGCACACTACATCACAATACTGAAGATAGAATTGACATATCCATCAGCACTAAAAACAATACATCGTACTGACATGCTCTAGTAATGCTAATCAAGAAAATTATGCCACACCAATTTCCCAACTAAGAACAAAAAATGCAAGGTATCATAGCGAACAAAAGTCTAGCTTCCCATGTATTGTTGGCGCTTATCGAAGATTATATGTGTTGCCAATACTCCCTTAGCCCCACAATATAATGCTTATTTCATTTTCATGGTCAAATTTTAAAAAGTTTGACCAAATATTCTCATATATATACATATATACAAAAAACAGTCATGTGATACATTGTTAGACTCGCGTCAATGCGTATTTCATTGTATCAGCTTTATATAATTTTAGCTATTGCGAAATTAAAGATATTGTTTATCAAAGGTATGTCTTGAAGAAGGTACTAATGCACCATATTATGGGATGGAGATGGTAGAAGAATTATAACAAGAGAGAATATTGCCTTAAATAAAAAGAAATACAAGTGCACACAGATGTGCCCTACAAGAAAACAACTACCCCAAAACACAAATTTTGACAAGGAATACAAATTCAAAGCAACTTAAAATGACAGAATAGGTCAAACCTGAATTACACACAAAATATCAGGAAGATGATTCTTTGACTCATCAACAGGGCCTACATAAACAATGTTACCATGATTTTTGAAACAAAATCAATTAGAGAAGTTGAAACCATTAATTCATTGATTGCTTATAAGGCTTGTTGAAATCAAACACAAACATACCGAGCAGCACAAAAAGGTGATGTGCTGGAGCATCGGCCATAAGTTGAAGGTCATTTGGGGAATTTTTGTAGTGAGATGCAACATATAGAGCCATCATTCTCTGCAGGTTCAGTACATATAAGTATCCTAGAAGGCAAATAAAGACCATGCAAGTTATAACCAAAGCAATGTCCGACATACCTGTAGAAATAATTCACTGTCTTTGTGATAGGAAAAAAGTGTGTCACGATTAACATAATAAAGATCACATTCACTGGGAGGAGGCAACCTGGTTATGAACAAGAGATAAAAATTACTTTTGGCATGTTTTCAGGAGGAATAAGGGCAACCAGTAATTGACCAAAGAATTAATGATGTCATATTGATGTTTGTCATGTATTCAACCTGTTGATATTTGGTATGTAATTTGCAACATCCAAACACAGTAACTCATTAAGCCAGAACTCAATGGGGTCACCAGAGGCATATCTGATAGATTCACTTAATTCTATCTTCTTGAAAATTCGGCCTGCAACAAAGAATAAGAAATTCAAATCGTAATCATTATCAGGATACAAAATGTTATCTTTTTGTATGCCTATGTTCAAAAATGTTCCATGCAGCATTATGCCAGTAAGGTAGTAGACCATTTAGCAAATTAGCACACTTTTATTCCACAGGGAAATGGTCTCATATCACAACCAGTTTGGCTTTATGCCAATGGAATAATCAAGAAATTATTGCTGTCCCTCGATGTAGGCATTGACTGGGGAGGACATAGAAGAATATAAATTAAACTAGAATTTAATTAAGAGCTGCTACAAACTCAGAACTAACAAAGATAATAAGGAAAGTCAGCACCAAGTGGACAAGAAAAAAGGCCCAAGAATCTTATGCCCTTATAAGAATAAAAAAAAATAAGGATATAGAATTAAAGATCATTTAAGCATTACAATAAGCATGAAAATGCCAAAGTTCAACAAAAGAAATGTCACAAGCAAGCACTATAAACTAAAATAAAAAGATTTGGTACAGACCTTTTAAAGGTTCCGCAAAGAATTAAGATTTATTCATGCTCTTTTTTAAAGCTTAGACCCTTTTTTGTCATCATTTGTCAAGTGTGTGTGTGTGTGTGTGTGTGTGTGTGTGTGTGTGTGTGAGAAAGAGAGAGAGAGAGGGGGGGGGGGGGAGGTTGAGCGGAACAAGTTGCCAACACGGCCATTTAAAACTACAATAGCACAAAAGGCATCCCTTCAATTCTTTCATACCAAGGAGAATCAATAGGAAACTTCAATGCTCTTTTTTTGCCACTCAGCCTCCCCCCACCCACTCTCTCAAACACACAAAATCAAAGAACCCATGACCAGGATCCAGCAAAACTTTGGGTTGACCCTTAATCTCACAGGCAATTAGAATCCCCCATTTTTTGTGCTTCATGTTCCAGATCTAGAACTTTTGCTCAAAACCAATGCTACATGGAATGCAGTATGTATGGATTGCAATCCACAACCTAAAGTTCATTACACTAGTCTGCATATCGAAAGTTCTAAATTGTGATTCACAGGGTGAAAAGTGAATGGTGTAATACTGATCTAAACCCTAGATAATTTATTTGAACTGACAGTAACAGATGATTCGTGGTCTCCAGGCTTAACAAACCCTAGTTTTGCAATACACAACCCATATCACAAATTCACACATCACTACATCAGTTCAAACCCTTGATCCAGGTAAAATTGATGTACTCACTTTTTACTGAAGAGAGAATCAAAACACTATCCTGGACCAAAATTCTTCCATCAATAGATCCTTCTACCCATACATTGCTAAGTACAAGTAGATTCTCTATCATCATTATTTTTAATGCTTTGATTTTATTTTTAAAACCCTCAGTAAAATCTAAATCAATTCTCAGCCATATCAGCATAGGCCATATACTAACAGTCTTGCAGACATGCGAAAATAAAGAGCCAAGAACAGCTGCTTTCCAAATTTAAAGATAAGGAAGAAAAACAACTAATAATTACAGTTGATCAGTCAACAAACCAACAAAAAATATCCATACCGGTAAGAGAACTATCCAAATTCTTAGACATCTGACTCTGCTCCTCTAGTTGCTGCAGAAGCTTCAGTGATAATGATCGTCCAGTACCTTCATAACTGTATTAAAACAACCAGAGGAGCAATGCAATGAGGGAAAATTGATAGTAGAAGAGAGTATTTATTAGTATGCTTTGCCTTTAAAACCCAGTTAAAGAGTTACAACAGATATTTTCACAAAATTAACGACAATCTCAGGCAATCAAAGTGAGGACATATGGTAAGAAGGCACTAAAATGCCATCCATTCTAGTGAATTTAGTGCATTGTCACTTTTCCTGATAGTGCCACTTTAACATTAATAATTATTACGCCTCTACTATCCACAAAAATTAACAAATACTCCCTCCGGCCCTAACAGTCTGCCCTATTTTCCTTTTTAGGTCATCCCTAAAAGATTGCTCCATACCATGTCCAAGGGGAACCACAAGTATACTCTCACAAAAATTACTTTAGGTCCCGACACTTTTCTATCTCATCAATGTCACTGAACCAGATGTTAGAGTAAAACATGGCAATGAGGTAAACAATAGGGACGGAGGGAAGACACAATGTTTTGGCAATACTGGTGGCATTTCTGTGTGATCTCTTTTCTTTTGTTTTCTTTTCTTTTTCAATGGCAATGGGGTAAACAATAGGGACGGAGGGAAGACACAAAGTTTTGGCAATACTGGTGGCATTTCTGTGTGATCTCTTTTCTTTTGTTTTCTTTTCTTTTTCAATGCCATAATTTGCTGTTATTTGTAATTAAAGAATGAAGGTAAAAGTAAAACTTCAGTGATATTTTGAAAATGAGACAAAGCAGAACAATTTTCAGTCTAACAAGGCCACAAAAAGAAATTTTATGAAGCACTATGACAAAGTAGAAATCATTCTTGAAAAGGAAAGAGAAATAATAACAATTCACATAGAAGCATTGGCTTTATCCTTAAATATTTAAACAGAAAACAATATCATACCCATTAACCGTAGACGATATGAAGACAAGATAAGGCCCTAAAAGAGATTTCACAACAGATAAAGGAACAGCTGCTGCTTCATCAATTACCAAAAGCTCAACTTGAGATAGCTTTTCATGTTCATGGGGTTGTATATACTGTTACCACAAATAAGGATCAGTTAGTGAACAAATAATTTCACACAAAAAGGTTCACAATTACTGAAGCAACACATATTTGATGAATCATTATATGACATTTTGAGCAGATGTGGATACAGGTAGAATAAGTAGGATACCAAAGATTGGAGAAGGTCATATCTCATTAAACCGTCTACACATATAAGGCCAACAGCAGAATATTCATCTTCCACATGAATTGAGTTGAATCTAGATGAATAGTTAGTCTGGTATTTCTTAATTTGAGGAATAAGGAAAAATCATAAGTTCTAGGAAATTTAGCTCACAAAAAACAGAAAAACTAGAGTGTCCTTGTTAATGAATCACTCTACTCATACAGACGAGTTTTCAAGCAAGATCCTACTAGACCCAATTCAATAGAAGAATAACACTTTACAGGCACCAAATGCCCCAATCTTCTTAAATCTTACCTACATGCCTTTAAACACTTAGCTTTTTGGAGTTCCCAGCGATACTAGTTTACTGTGGCTACTCTGTTTCACTGGCAACATCAAGTACTATATTTTCAGAATTAGCATTTTCATGTTTAGCTGAGACTCCGTAAAGTTTCTGCTACAACAGCAAGAATAACTCAAACTTCACAAAGACCAAAAAAGTTTGCAAAATGCACAAAGATTTCCTCACTTAACATCCTAAGATGCCTTTAAAGTTACAAAATTAAATGAGGCTACACATCAAATATCTTAGCCATCCCACCTTACATTCAGAAATACTCAGTCAAATTTATAATATTACCAATAGTCACATAAAATTGGCCATGTCAAGTATCTGTAGAGACAAGGTACTGTTAAAGGACTCATTGCTCTACGTAGCATTCTATATAGAGAGCAATTTATAAACCTATATTATTTTGGAAAAATAGGCCGAAACAACACCAAATCTAAGGTGCACACAACTGCACAAAGCCACAAACTAACGCGGGGGAAAACAGTAACACAAACTTCAACCAAGGGTGTGCAGAATCACATAAAGTGCAATATTGAAGCATAAATAATTAGAAATTGATATCACCCTTTGCCGTCAATAGTGTATGCAGCAATGCACCTTGGCCGAAGTTTGAGCTGCTGTTTGCACCCGTAATAATTCTTAGGCATAGTTGACACTATTCCAGCAAATAGTTTTTACCATTAACCTTACAAATGTAAATCATAAGATGAAGCGGGACACAAAAGAGGGATCAATTTATTAAATGGTAGGTGGCTAACTAGTTAAGCATTAAGCCACACTCTTCCACATCCCCCACCCTAAAGGATATGTACTGTCTCTACTAGCAAAACCTCAAGAGGGGGGAAGGAGGCATCATCTATGCCTTTCTTCATTTTTCCAACTAGACAAAGGGAGATTCTTAATACTTCAAATCATATTTTGCAACAAGGTTCACTTTGCTTTATGCTAGCTGACACTCCCTCCATTTAATCATGCAAAGCACCAACAGTGTCCTACACTATACAATTTTTAACTTAACCACTTATCCATAAATTAGAGTATATCATTATATTGATTAAAAATTACAAAAAATATCATAGAGGTACTTTAATTTTTTTATAGATGTATGTCATGTACTAAAGACATTCTTTTTGAATAATCTTTATCAATTCACTAGAAATTTACATGCAAGATTCAGCCACAATAAGCATAATTGGATAATGCCGTACGAAAAACGCAGGAAATTCATTTATTTTGTCTCTGAATTGCCAGTAATGTTTTAAAAGGACAGGACTGTATGAATGTCAAGCCACTACCCTAATGCCTCGCCACATATGTTTTAACAGATTGGTTAAGTGAATGTGCCTGGTCACCATAAGAAGGCTCCCTTTAACATATATTAACAAAAGAAAACATCTGCCTTCAGCCATTGGATCTAAAGACTACTTTTCTCGGGCTCTAAGCATGGGTCACTCACAAGTTCCATAAGAACCCATTCAAACAAAGATTACCACAAAGCAAAGTAAGGTAGGCAGTTGGCTGACAGTGTATTACATAAGGAAGACAAAACTTCAATCTAATCAATGGAATATAAGAGAAATTATACTCGAACATATTTAGGGAAGAATAATGGGAAATGAATACATGAGAAACTTCAGAGGTCTCATCTAGGTCCAGAAACAACCTAATTTCTATTCATCAATCCACAATGGAACAACACTACAGATACGAACAAACAGACAAACATTGAAAGTTCTTAGTTTGATTCCTCATCAGAAACAATCACAAGGAACTGCCTCAAGCAGCCATAATAATTAAATAAATTGCTTAAGGAAAAGAAAAAAAAAAAAAAAAAAAAAAACCAACTATCATAAAAGCATGTTTGTTGAAGCAAAATATTACAGATCAAGTCAAATATTATGTCCTTACCTGGATTGTTTGCCTATGTTGTTTGTAGATATTAATCCGCACAATTGCCTTCTTAAAATCCGGATTAGAGCTTTTGACCACGTCATAGTCCATATGTTCCTGTTAAAAAAAAAGTCTTAGTTTCAAGGTCATAAATTCTCAACAGGTGTACGAATCATTATTAATTTATGAAGAACTTTGAACCTTGTACTCCAATGAATCAAATCCCTTGCAGATAAAATCAAACAAGGTCTTCAAATTTTCAGGACTTGGTGCTGTTACATAGATATTAGAATACCTGTAGATATACACTTTAACAATCAATATCTACAGAGGTTAACAGCAATTTAAAAAAACACATCTAACATCATTCCTTCCACCTTTTGCTTGTTAGAAAAAGCAAAGGGAGGAGAAAAGGAGGGAGTTGCAAATACTACCCAGCAGCAACAGCTCCACCAACTGCCAAACCAAGTGCTGCCGATTTACCACGACCACGAGCAGCAAGTAGAGCAATAGTACTACGGAGAGTCTTATCCAAGATGGCATCAAGAAATGTAATGACTGCTTTTCCCTATGCATACAATAATGTAAAATTGAGCACTTAAACTTCAAAACAGTCAATAGCCTCATCGAAAAATCATATGAACAAAGAGGGAAAAACTTTATTTCTCATCTTATTTCCGGTACCTGATCAAGGGTGCAACACTTTTTAATCAAAGGACCAACAGGAAAATCCTCATTGAGTTCCTCTTTCAAATTCTTTAAATCACGTTCAGCATCTGAAAGACCGTCAGAGTCCTAAATCCTAAGCTCAAGTTAATACAGAATGATTAAATGTAGAACAGAAGAAAAAAAAAAGGTTGTTTGAGCCATACTACATTTTCTTAAATTTTATAAGACACACTTTGTAATTATCTTATGAATCTACACTCGAGAAACTAGGTAGTGTATACATAACTTTCTGGCTCAATCAGAACACTTTCAAATAGGATAGATTACCTCTCTAACAGGAACAGGAGTGATTGACCTTATATGAGTTGAAATAGGTAATATATTCAACTCATCATCCATAACTACACATGATTTGCAGGAAGCAATTGATAATAAAAATCGTTCATTGAAGCGCCCTGTGGCATCAGAATGGGATTCTGTGCGAAATCTCTCATGAACATCCTGCACTTGTTTAAATAGATCAAAAATTAACAAAATATGTACGAAAGGAAGTAACAACACAGTTTTTATCCAGGGAAAGTGGGCTTTAAAGCAACTCATACCATAACCATGGTGCACAGACTTGTTAATGAAGACAGAGAGCGCAAGAGCAAAACAATCAGTCCTCCACCCTCCACAGTTTCTATAGTTCTTGCCAGAAGGTTTGGCGTCAATGCTTCAAAATCCTTAAAGCAGCCAACCAACAAATTAAGAAAGCCACAAAGTACCAATTTAAGTAATCAATAAAATACAGTAAAAAGATGATCAGGCCAGCCAACAGAAAATTTTAACTACCTGTAGTATGCACATGCCAAAGGTATTACCAAGCACTCTTTCCGAATCTTTGTATAAGCAGTATGTTATCCCTCCACTTTCGATAAAAAGAGAAAAAGGATCAACCTTCTCAGGATCTAAAAGTCCTCTCTGCATTAATTTCTTCACCTGCTTTGCACGTTTTTTCTTGTGGCTGCAGAGAGCACACCATATTGGTCATAACAATACATGATACGATAATATACTATACAGGAGGAAAGGGGGGGGGGATTCTGTAACTTGATATACAGCCCAACTGATAGCATGTAACCAATTGAATGCAAAAGAAGTAAATCTACATCCATAATGACATCATGTCTACAACACAACTGAAAAAAAATCACGAAAAAATCAACAGCAGGAACAAGTACATCGTCTAAATGAATAATGTTCAACCAGCAGAGACAAATTCATTAGTCCCCCAGTCTTCATGTATATATGTAAATTTTTTCACAGTTAAAACCATCCTAAAGGCATCTAAGTGAGTCAGTGACCTAACCACATAAAAATACAAAACCCGACAAGTGTTACCGAGTTAGCAGTAAAATCTTTCAGCACTTCTTGACAATAAACCGAAGCAAACTCGGGAAAACTCTTATCCACTCCTATATTCCACAAAATCCCCAATTTGGGAAAATCCTCACACAAAAACCAACTAATTCTCATAAAAAACAAAGCTAATTCAAATTAAAAAAGACATTCTTCAAATAAAAACATTCAATAAATTAACAAGTAAAATAAAAGCAATAAAACTAAAAAATTGAATGTTACCTGCTAAGTTCTAGCTTGTCTCTATAACACCAGAGCACAGTAGGCCTAGCCTTAACAACAGCTTTACTAAGCATATAATGAAGATTAACAATCTGTAGAAATTCAACAATAATTAAAATCTTCAACAATCAAATTCACATACTAAAAACACAAATTAATAGCAAAAAATTGATTGGAAATTAAAAAAAGAGGAGAAAGAAGAAAGTACTTGGTCGCGAGATTTGTCACCGATGATGACGAACAAAGAACGGTGCCTGGTTTTGACGCCATTTTCGATAAGGGTTCGGATGCGTTCGTCGACCTTCTTCCTCATTTTTGGTGGCTCTGTGTTTAAGGAAGAACCAGGGTTTTGGGTTTAAGAAACGGCCGCTAAATTTGAAGAGAGTTTATTATGTTTTGTATACCTGCTTCGGTTTTGTCTGGTTTATTCCGTGAAAGCCAAAAGACGAAAGTCATGTTGGAGTCATATTACGCCTATTTAATTATTAGGTTTTCCATTTGAAACAAACTAGATGAACCCCGTGCGATGCACAGTTTGTGTTCGATGCACGGTTTGTTAGTATTACTATATTAATTTTAAAATATTAGATATAATTCCTAATCTCAAATTAATATTTTGAATTTAATTAATTTAAACTTTAAAATTTCATTAGTTAATTTTGCTTACGTGAAATTTGAATTATTTAATTATAAAAGAAATTAATAATCTCTTATTTAATTGGCTACAATTTGAATTTATAATCCTATATTTTTTAATTTATGTGCTAAAATTGGTTATATATTTAGATAAAATTCCTAATATCTAAAGATAATATTTTATATTTAATTAATTTAAATTTAAAAATCTCATTTGCTAATTTTGCTTATGTGGCATTCGAATTATTTAATTATAAAATATTTTAATAATCTCGTATTATCTGGCTACAACTAAACTTTATAATCCTATGTGGCGCACTAAAAAAAATTAGATCCTACGTGGCTCTCTAAAAACTCGGGGAAAAACTCCCCTTTATATATATATATATATATAGTTTTGTACCCTGGCGATGTCCGGGTTGTTTATTGAATTTTAAGATAAAGTTATAGTTCGAGTTAACTCATGACCAGACCAAACAGGTCTATGTAGTAATAAAATTCTAATAGATTGTGAAATATATATGTTATTTTAACCGATTAGTACATACTATAAGTGAATGATTTACGCTTTGAACTACTTCATTCGTTCCAAAAAATTATTATGATACAAAAAAATAAATTTATATGATAATTTTTTAGAATTATAATCTAATAATTTTTTAAAATAAAATTATAATTCAATTTGTACGTCTGAAATATTAGTATTTGTCGAAAATAAAACTCTAAACCAACAATTTTATCCTAAAATTCTATCTTATGAAGTCTATTTAAATCTATCCAACGTGGCACGACACTTTTAGCCAGTGTCGTTGCACCTGGCTGGCTAAAAGTTTAGCTTTATATATTAGTTATATTATATGATAAGTTAAGTCCCGTGCCATGCACGGTCATTATAAAATTTTATAACAAATAAATAAAAGTTAATGATGTTAATTCAACGATAATTTATCCAAAAAAAAATATTTGTAACAAAATAACTTGAATTTTAATTAGTTTATACCAATACTAAATGCGTAAAGGTTATTGAATTGGATTATATAAATAAATAAATAAACATAATAATAGAAACTTAGAAGCTATAAGGTTTTATATTATATAAGAAAATTAAAATATTAGTCTTATTATTATGATTTGTGCATGGCACGGAAAATTGATTGAATATAATTCAAACAAATTAAACTATTAGTCTTATTATTATGATTTGTGCAAGTACAGCCCAAAATTAGGTGCGGCGGATTTTGTGAGAAGAATAACTTGAAATTTTAAAATACAATCCCAAAAGGCCCGGATTGTATTTTAGGAGTATTACATACTACGGAGTACATATTTCAAAGGAATAGATCTAAATTAATAATTACTCTCGTCATTAATGATAATAACAAGTGTTTATTGGTACACAATATTATACTCATACAAAATACTAGTGTAAAGTTATTATTGACTTTATGGACTTATTGTCATTAATAACAAAAGTAATTTTTTACAAAGACTTTCTCTATATAAACTTTTAAATTTTAATTTTTTACACTTGATTGTGATATTGACAAAATTTAGTCTCCAATGTCCAACACAAATGACAACAAAAGTCATTTGGATCCAATCATCATGATAGGTCTTATTCAACTTAAATCACATTTCTCAAATAGTTTTTACAATATCATAATAATTGTGATTCATCTCTACTAGGGCATGTTCTCTTACGTTGAAATCCAATTTTGTTCAGTTCAACTCCTAATTTCCATATCTTATAAAATATTCATTTCAGTTCAGCTCAGATTCAGTTCAGTTTAGTTCAGTTCAGTTTAGTTCAGCCGAGTTCAGTCAATGAAAACAGGCCCTTGGAATTTACTATATTTGATATGGAGTACATAGTAAAATTGTACTCATATATAATTATCATTTATAATTATCTCAAATACTTTGTATTGGGCATGTTTGGCAAAAATATACTCCGTAACTGTGAAGGTAGTTGTCAGCTATGTAGGTAGCTTTTAGCTGTCAACAAGATGTTAGCTCTGAATATAGATAATTTAGGTATGAGTGTTCGGTAAAGTGCGGTTGGTTAGCTGTTATATTTAAAAATCAATATTTTATATTTAATACTATAGATTAAATTTTCAAAAGCTACTTCTAATTTTAAAAGTTAATATTTCTAACTTTTCTTCTAAGTTTTCATAAAAGCTACCTTCACCACTAAAAGCTACCTTAACCACTGCTTTGTCAAGCACTTACATTTTATGTTAAGTACACTAAAAGTTACTCAAACGTTAGTGCCGAACACGTCCTAAGTTGAAGTCAAATATTTTGAATACTTTGTAAAAACAAATCGATTACAAGTCAATTTTATTGCTTTTAGATTAATTTCAGTTTAGATCAATTCCTAATCAGCGCGTTTCTGGTGCGGCAAGGTGCTATATTAGTAACCCTTCTAGTAACCCCTCAAGTAACCCCATTTAAGTAACCCCTCTAGTAACTCCCCAGACAAAGTAACCCCTGACTAACTTAGTAACCCCTGACCAAGTAACCCTCGACTTACCTGATAACCCCTAGTAACCCCTAACACTAACCCCAAGTAACTCCTAACCTAGTAACTCCAAGTAACCCCTAACCTAGTAACCCCAAGTAACCCCTAACCGACTTAATAACCTCTAACCTAGTAAGCCCTATTAGTAACCCCAAGTAACCCCTAACTGCCCTAGTAACCCCTAACCGACCTAGTAACCCTTAGTAACTGCTTAAGTAACCGCGACCTAGTAACCCGTGAAATAAACATCCAAAACAACAAATCAGGGACCACAAATTCATCCAAATCAAAACAAAATAACGAAACTTTTAAGTATCAATTTAAATCAATTTTGCATAAAACAAATTTATATAAGAAATGATGCAGATGATAAAGGAAGCAATCGTTGGTTTGAGTGAAAATATTAAGACAACGACGAATGTTTGGGTTGGTTTGGAGTTCAAGGAGCTTCGACGACGACGAAACGAAGACAGTGACGACAATCTGGCTTGGAGCTTCGAGGAGATCTGGACGGAGACGACGAACCTGATGGCGGCGGAAGACCTAGCTCGACCATTGATGGTTAGAGAGAGAAAGTTAGGAAGAGAAAATGGAGGAAGGTAGAGGAGAGAGAGGAGAGAAAGAGAGGAGAGAGAAAATATAAAAAAAAATACTACATATAAAAAATATGGCTGACCGTACGGTACAACCAACCGCATATAAAACTTTGTGATTATAATTTCCTTCTCCCCTTAATAATTCAATTCACTTTAATAAATCCAACAAAGTTTTAATTTCCTATATTTCCAAACCCCCAAACGTGGTGGAATGACACATTTTGAAACCTTTACTAAAAAAATTGCGTAGCGTCAGTTCTCCCAAGGGTTGAAGACTTGAATATCGTTTCGACTCCATGGATATCGTCTTCCATTTCTCAATGTAGTTCCACCTTCTTCTGGTTCGAAAATGGCGTTTTTGTCAACAAATACTTTCACTCTCAATTCATTCACCAACATCCCCTGCTCCAAATTATCGTCCTACAACGTCCGAATTTCTAAAACTAGCAATCCAAATTCTGTAACATTCCCCAGAAATCAATCACTCACCACTGCATGTAACCCTAAAAACAACCCCCAATCTCCAAACCCCACAAATTTAATCACTCATTTTCTCTCAACCCACAAAAAAATCCCCAAAACCTTGACTGAAAATGCTGTGAAATTGCTTGTTGGGTCCTTAATTTTGATGGGTTCTCTTAGTTTTAGTTCACCAGTTAGCGCAGTTCAAGTTCAAAGTGGTGTAAATTTAGAGGAAGAGAAAGAAACCCAGAAAGAAAATGCTGAAGATGAAGAAAAATTTGAGAAGTTATTGGAGCAAGAACCCAGAAACGTGGAAGTCTTGAAGGTGGTTGTGAATTTGAAGATGAGAAAAGGGAAGACTAAAAAGGCTGTTAAATATGTTGAGAGGTTGATTGATATTGAGCCTGAACAAGTTGAATGGAGGCTTTTGCAAGCTCTTTGTTGTGAAATGATGGGGCAATTGAGTACAGCTAAGAGATTGTTTAAAGAAATTCTTAAGGAAAACCCACTTTTGCTTAGAGCTTTGCATGTAAGTTTGCTAGGATTTTATGATTAATTATCTTGATTTGATTATGTTTGCTTTAGTAGATGAATGTTAAATGTGTAGTTAAATTTTGTTGGAAATTGTGGGATGATTGATTATATGATGCTGTGGTTGTGAATGTTGTTAGTTATTGGTTTTGGTGAAAGTTTGATTTTGCTAATGAGGTTTAATATTGTCCAAAAAAAAAAAAAGAATAATGTCAATTGTTGGTATGAATACACGATGAATAATGTTGATTGTAGAATGCACGATGTATATTGATTGTTGGGAAGTTTTAGTGTAGATTGTGGATTATGAGAGTGCATAGTATGAAGCTGAGGTGTTGATTGTAATATACCTGTTGAACATAGCTCTTATACATATACTTGCTGTTCGCGAACAAAGTACTGTATACTGCTGTGCTGTGTGTGTTATGGTAGGTTACTAAGGTTAGTAGTGTAGATTGTGGATTATGAGAGTGCAATGTATGGAGCTGAGGCTGCAATTGTACGATGATTTTATACTGCTTTGTTCTTTGTATTTTGGTAGATTTGTAGTGTAGATTGTGGATTTTGAGAGTGCATTGTATGGGGATGATGATTAAGTGTCCTGAAGTCTAATTTTCTTTGTTAAGTCCCCAAAATTAAGAAAGCCATAGTTTTAGGGGATGTTAAGTGCATTGTTTGGGGCACAGATTTAGGTGGCTTGAAGTTAATCTGTAATATTAAATGCTCCAAATCAAGATAGACATGATTTAAGGGTCTTCTGACTTATATTATCACGTAGGACATTTTGCTTATCTTTTCTCTCTTATCTGTCAGGGTTTGGCAATGGTGATGCATAAGAACCATGAGGAGGCAGCAGTTTTTGATATGTTGAACGAAGCTCTTAAACTTGCTGTTCATAAAAAAAGGGTTGCTGAAGAGAGAAATATCAAGATTTTGATTGCACAAATGCATCTAGTAAAGGTGATATTGAAATTATCGCTTGTTGCTCTCCTTCACTATGTTTTATCATGACTCCATAACTTTTCTACTTAGTGATCGTACTATCATCTATAATCTTTTTGAAAATTTAATTAGCTACTTCGTATAATACAAGCAGCAACTGAAATAGGAACAAGTTTGACAAGACTGTCAGATTAACGTTGCTATTTTTAACACCTCTATCAGTTACTGCTGTGGTTTATAGTTGTTTCCCTGTAATGTGTCAAATTAGATGTTATTCAAGATGCCTTAGGAGTCTAGATTTCCATGTAAATCTTCAAGGGCTATAATTTTTTAAGTTATGCAAAGAATATGAGTTTGTTGAATTAAAGCCCTTTATGTATATATTGTGCCAGATCAAGTGGCTTTTTAAAAAAAGGTTTTCAAATGTATCAATTTCCAAATGAATTTTTTTACAGAATTGATATAAATTTTCAAATATATCCTTGTTAGTAAATTGTAAATGCCACTGTCATCACCATCGTGACCTCATCTTGATTACTTCCCCCTAAAAGTAGAGCAGCTCGAGCCAGCCACAGTAGCCAGCAGCCTTTACTCTTACTAATCTGATTTGAGTAGAGAGATTGTGTTTCGTTGTAAAAAAAATATTTTTGAAATAGAGTTCCCCAATTTTATACCAATCAATCAATCAATAAAAGCCTTAATCCCATAAGTGGGGTTAGGTACATGAATCTAAAGTGATTACTCCGTATAGTCATCCATAAAAATAATAAGAATAATATGAATATCTCATGGGAAATCTGGTACAATCATATAGGGATTAAAGACAAATACAGAGGGAACTGACCAAATTTTGAAATATGTGAGCAGTGTGCCAGAGCATGGTATTGAATCAAACTTGAGCGAATTGAGGCAGACCTTATAAAGTTTATGCATAGATACCTAATTTCTTAGCATAGCATAGATTTCTGGATACTTATTAGAAAGGATGTATGTGCCCAAAGTAGAATGAATTTCTAAATTTTTATTTAACAGGGTGCATGTACCTAAAATAATGGGCATGACATTCTTTCAATAATCTAGTTTTGACCTCTTACATGGTCATATGTATTTGTGTTTATTGCAGGGGAATTTTGATGAAGCTTTGAAGAAGTACGGAGATCTAATTGCTGAAAATCCTCGAGACTTTCGACCTTACTTGTGCCAGGTTAGTTTTCACAACAACTACAAGCATATTGCACTCTTCAAATCAGATGTCAATTATCTAAATTTCACCTTGCCTTCTTCCCTTGTTATCCTTCTATAGTCCTATCATTTTCAGAGGCTTTGTGTTACTTCTTTGTAGATACTGCCAGAGTCTGTGACCTAAATGGCCGCATTTAATTCTTGTTTTGTTTTATTTTTCTGTGATTATAAGTTATGTAAAGAACTCATGCAAAATTGCAAATAACCTTAGGCACTTATGCCTCATTGTTTCATTCTGTAAAAGTTATAACTGTTGGTAACGCTATTTCTTGCATTGTTCATCAATGCAAATGTCCTGAGTAAGTTGCTTAATTTTTTGAAATATTGAAGAAGCTCCTTGTTATTGATGACCTAGATTGAGTGAAGTAAATCAAGCTTGGGATGGATTTTTAAAAATGTTTTGGGAAGCAGCAAGTTAGGAGGGAGGTTGAATTATAAGGACTATATTTGGACAATTAGTTTAGAACTTTGAATTATTTGAACCTCTACGGCCCTCTAGTTGTTCTGTTGAGTGGTGGACTTGCTATAAAAGGTAATTTTTGTAAGATGCTCGTCAAATATAGAATCACTAGAAAATATATACTACTGGTCTTTACGAGGATTGTGATCGGCTACATGTAAAGGATGGGCATAACAAGGAATTAGAAACATGAAGTATGCTACTGTTGAATGAATAGGCTCACACGGTGGTACCATGAAATGTGAACATTCTCAAAGTTTGCTGACTTGAGGGGGTTGTTATTGCACTTTCAGTCTTCTGTAATGCAGTGCATTGGCCTTTTGTCCTCCATTTTGTGCTAGTCAGTCTGTTAGATTATCAGTCTGAGATCTCTGCTTGCCTCGAATCTTTGGATCTTGCATCTTGTTATCTAGCTGGCTGCTCATTCATTCTAATCAAGTAATCATCCATATATCATATTTCAGGGAATCATTTACAGCTTACTGGACAAAAAGAAGGAAGCTGATGAACAGTTTGAGATTTACAGAAATCTTGTTCCAGAAGAATTCCCACAAAGAGGATTCCTTGAAGATGTTGTAATGGCAGCAAAAACAGAATCGAGGGAACAGCTACAGAAGGAGTTTAACTCTCAGTTTTCATATAAGAGATAACTAAGTTTTGAATTTGTGGTAAGATTCTTTATCTGTGTTATATTCATGGCTTTGTCACATTGACCCTTGTAAGTTGGAAGTTGCCTTCTTCATCAAAATCTGTAAACTGACTATAAGTGAATTCAACGAGAGAGCTGCTTCTTGTGATAAAAGTAAATGTCTATTCATTTACTAGATTGTACCCTGCACCTAAACACGTTGATTTTGTTTCTTCATTACATGAGCAGATGGAAAGGGTTTGTTAGCAGAAAGCTACTCTTTGGGTCCCTTAAAATAAACACTCAAGGGTATCATAGGAAAATTCAAAGTATAGCAATTTAGCTAGAAAGTGGCCTATGATTTGAGACGGCTTAAAAAGGTTGTTGCAATATTGCCTTTCATTTAGGTACACAGTCTATGAAAAATATTTATTATGAGACCTTTAGCCTGCAATAGATCATCGAGGTAAAGAAAATGACATCCATGACATTACAATCTAAATTACTTAATTATGAATTTGCTGATTTAAATTTCCATTGTTTTCTTGTACAGGTCCCTGGCTGAGTTGATGAACCCCTTTGCTAAGAAGATCCTGTCTTAGGCAATTTATGGAGGCTGGAAGCTCTTTATTTTTCGATAAATGACCTGAAAGTCACCAGGAACCACAAGCTAACCTCACTATCCCTTGCGTACAATGGCATTGTGTGTACATATAATTTTCACTTGGTAAACTGAAAGTGTTGGCTGATCTATTTAGAAGTGTTTTTTAAACATCAAGCTCCTTTTTCTGGCTGATAATCTTGTAGACACTAGCCTGTGCATGGATTCTTGTGCTGCAAAATGTTAGAAAATTTTGTTTTATTATTCTTGGAAATGATATTTGGTGGTTGAAAGTTAAAACTGTTTGTTTGTAATTTGGATGATTTATTTATTTTTGCTTGGATCTAACATGGTCTATTGTCAGCTCTGGTGAAGTACATAAGAAGTTGTAGGTGAGACTATCTCTCGCTAATTTATTGTACATGACTATATTATACAAGAAAATCCTTGTATATGACTATATTGTACAAGCTGATAGAGTTTATTACCTCAGGATTCAGGACTAAGGACTAACTTGGGATACCTTACAGCAACAAAAACAACACAAGCGTAAATACCAAAATAACTGCCTTTGTTGGAATCATGCTAATCCTTATTGCCGCACTTACTACCTCTATTGGAAATAGGCACCCTTGTTGGGAGGCATTGGTGGACGTAATCGTAGCAAGGCCGTCAAATTGGCAAGCTTCAACACTTTGATCATTCAACTGGAAATACATGTTGAAGGCATATGAAATGTTACCATTAGCATCAAGGTCATTGCATGAGGACCCGTAACCGAGGGAAGTGCAATCCGACCTTGAGCATGCATACTCTACGGAGCCTACTATCTTATCTTGGTTCTTTGCGTCTGTGTTGAAGATGCACCATTTAGACTCCATGTACTGCACCCCCTTAGCACCAATGGGCATCTTGTCATTGCCCTTGCCATTAAGGTCCATTGGAAATTTAGGTTGGCCATCGTAACGGAAGATCCCCCAGTGCCTCTCAAAATCACCTGGGTCTATGCTCTTCATGTTCTCATCAAGCAACCCAAAGAGGTAAGCCTGAAACAATGTTTTGTGTAGAAGGTTAAGGATACAGTACAAATAGAAGAATACTAGCATATTTTCCATTTTATGAGCTAAATATGGATACAAAATGAACCAAAACAATCAATTTAGGTTATCTTTGATTCAAAATTATATTAGTAAAAGATATCCAATATTTAGGTCTGATTCAAAACCCAATATGTATTGCATGTAACATTTTTGAATCGAAATAAAAGAGGGATATATGAAAGAGCCAAGTCTTGTATTACCTCCATCGGCCCTGGCCGCATTGGGGTGCCCTTGTTAGAAGCCAACTTCTTAAGCAAACCATCATAGAATTTCTTGGCAAACTTAGTATTGGCTTTGATGTGTCCATCAGTAGGCCATCCAATCTCCCCAACAACAATCTTCAAATCCCCATAACCATTTTTCTTCAACGCCCAGACAAGCGTATCAAAGTTAGCATCAAACACGTTACTATACGTGTGACTATTGTCGTTGATAGTTTTAGCACCTCCATCAAAGAAAGCAAAATCCTCTGGGAAATTTGGGTTTTGGTAAAGACTAAGAAAAGGGTAGATGTTGACAATGAAAGGTGCACCCTTTTCTTTGAGGAAGCCTACGATGTCTAGCATGAGATCCTTTACATCTCCTCGAAAATCACCACTTGAGGGCATGGTTGAGGATGACTCGTACACGTCTGCATTGAGGGGAACAGAGGCCTTAATATCTCCATGGCCAGATTCTTCAAGAGCCTTCATAATATTTTGTAGAGCTGGGAATGTTGTTTGCTTGAAACTATCATTGTAACTTGCCAAAAGTGGTTCATTTCCTACTGCTACATACCTGTAATATAATTATTATGAATCAAACTATATCTTATAGGGGAAGCACTTAAATTTTGAACATAATTTCATACAAAATTATACATTTTAATGATCATACATTTACCTTATGTTAACTCCTCCATCATAAAGATGTTTGGTAACATTTTTCTTAACCCATTCTTTAGCATGTTTATACTTGTTCAGTCGTCTAAGCATGTCATTAGGGATGGCAACCATGACTTCAATCCCCGTCCCAGCCAAGGCATTAAGCGTAGAGGAATCAGCGTCGAAAAGCTTCACCTTGTTTAGGCCATTGTCTTTCAACATGCCTACCACATTGGATGGTGGTAGTGGATGTGATGCAATGTTTCCCCAGTTTACTCCTATATTGTCTTTTTGATCTGCACCATTAACCATAGCCACTAACATAATGAAGGTCCATAGCCATAGGACCATGGCTCGAGCCATGGTTAGTTGATGGTCCGAGACAAGGATAGAAGTCTATCAAAAAATGAAATTTGGATTTGCAAAAAGAGGAGAATCTAGTTGGCAAAGAGAATATAGAGGAATCAAAAGTTTTGAATTAGGTTTAGAAAGATGGTATGGGAGGTTGGGAGAAAACAAAGGTAGTTTTCTTTTATTGAATGTCCTTTGTATGCGTTTTTAAGATAAACATAGTTTGTTTTAACTTACTATTTAAAGTTGTTTTTCCTCAAATTCAAGCAATGATTACATAGTTTACTAAATTATCTCAATTTCTAATTTTGGTGTTTTTAGGATTGTATATAATACATTTTTTTTATTAACGCATTTTTGTAAACAAATCAAATTATGTATAGTTACTTACGCTTTATTTTGTTGTATAATATTGTAGTAGAGTAGAACCTCGTAGAAAGAACAAAAAAATTCTCAATAAATACTCGTATTCTCTATCTAAGAACAATTCTTTTTCTAACTACTACTATGTTGCTAAAGGTTTATGTTATAGCAGGCCGTTTCCACTTGCCAATTTTGGATTTACTACTCCTAAAGGAGATTAAGTACGGTGCATAGAAATTGAAAATCTAATGAATTACAAAGAATTTAAACGTGACATATTCACTCCTCTAACATCACCAATTAAAACAATTTCAAGATCTTCGATAGAACATGGATGATGGTAAGTTTGGTAATTTGATTAACTCCGCGATTAGCTAGCCAATTTACCACTCGATTTACTTCTCTATAGTAATACACATGGGCGGATCTAGGGGGGTTAAGGGGGTTCATTAAACCCCCAGATTTTTTGAAAAAAATTTATAAGTTTTGATTTTTTTTTTTTTTTAAAAAATAAGGTTAATTTTTTTTTTTGTGAAGTAAATAAACAAGTATGTAACTTTGACACATTGGTAAGGGAGTGACTAATAGAGTAGTGAGGCTCCTCTTGATCATGGGTTCAAGACCAACCACCCTCATTTTTTTGTTTTTTTTCCCCCTTTCGATTTCTTCAGTTGTTCTTCATGAGTTAGTCCATAGTTGGGTCAATAATTTTAGGAGTAGTATGTTGGTCATTTTGTTAAGTTAGAGAGTTAAATGAATTTAGAAGTTAATGAGTTTATTTAGTGGGTTTATGGGTTAAACATGGCATTATACTTTCAGTTTCTTAGCTTATTATTTGTTGTTTGTTAGCCTACATATATGGCTCTTGTATTTGGTGAAGTAAGCATGAAGAAATATTATGAGTTCTTTATTTTACTTGCTTCATACTTATCTAATATTATTATTGCTTTTATCCTTTAGTACGTATTAGTTTCAACGGTCCTCTTATTCCTCTACTCCTCTTAATTCTTAAATCATTATTTGTTTGTAAATTAGTGATAATTAGATTAATTATTGATTTGTTTAATTAGTTTTGATATATTGTTGACGTACAAATTGAATTTAGAAACTTAGAATTTAAAATTTTTACTTGGTCTTTTAATTGATAATTAGAAAAAAATTTCATTACCAAATTTGTGTTTATTGGGGACTTGGGATTTTTGTTTTTCGAATTTTCGTGTAATATTGATTTTTTGCAATATAATTATAGATTTATCATTTATAGAAGTAGTAATGTTTTAGCACGCTTTCAAAGTATAAAACTCGAATAATGCTTTTGTAGGTTTTTTTTTATTTATTATTTTATAACTGTTTAATCCATCCATTTGTAATAAAAAAATTTGAACTTATATATTGAATATTTAATTAATATATGAGCATCGTTTGTTTTTTAAGATTCCGAACCCACAATTCGGAATTCCTGAATACGCCACTGGTAATACATGTAGACAAACTTCCCAACTTGATAAATTAACCACACAAACACACCCACCCTTGTAATCTAGTTACACTTTGTGAGAGGTAGAGATGCCAATTGATCATTTAGTTCGACTATAAACAACTTCCATGTGACGATGTAACGTTGAATTCAATTCGTATCAGTCTATCCTAGATTATCTTAAGTCGTGTCCGTTTTGCTAGGTCCGTCACAAAAGCTAACGAAATAAAACTTGAGTTGGCCCTCCCTTGTTACTTTCTTGATGGCCCAAATTTTCACATCAAATTAAGAAGCTCAAAGCTCAAAAAGCCCACATTCAAATTCTCTCTCCTCTCTTTATCTTCTCCATTTTGCCTGAAAATCCTGCAAAACCGCTGCAACTCTCTGTTTCAATCCCAACACTCCTACTTCTTCCATTGGTACTCCCTATTTTTCTCTCTCCTTTGACTGAAAGTTTATTTCTTTGACTTAATAACTGTGTTCCTTTGCTTCATATACTAGTATAATTTTCACCATTTACAATATTGGAATTATGCAATTTTTTTTCCCTTTAAATGCATGTAATTTTAATTTATCACATTTTAATTGCATCTCTATGTATTAATTCTCCTCAAAATTTTATTTCTTAAAGATTTTAATCACTCTTTTTTCGCTGTTTAATTGCTGAATATTTTGCTATATTATTTGGGTAATAAAGGAGGTTTTTGCAACTGGGGATGGGTCCTTTGACCTTAGCCATTGGTAACAAGAACTCTTCAATGGAACAATCAGGTATTATTTTTTCAGGGGTTTAAATTTGCAATATGATATAATGTTGTAATTTTCTTAAGCTAATTTAGTTAGTAAAAAAATATAATCATGATTGTTAAAGGTTTGATTTTAATAAAATTGAATATGACCCACCAATCTAACTACCCATTTTCAATATATATTTTGAAGCGAGATTATTGTGGCAAAATTTTTATTGGATTTTTGTGAGAAGAAATCGAGGTAGTGTGATTTTGTTGCCGGGTTTAAGTAAAATAAAAAGGGAGGATAGTTTTGTTACATAATTTCATAATGGATGAAGGAATTTGTTTTCGTGTTTGTATCAATTTGCTTCAGGAGTGTAGGTTTTGTTACACAATCCTTTAGCTTGTGCGTAATGTGTACCGCCTTTACCGGGTTTAATGAAAATTTGATGTCTTGTATTGATCGTGCACCACCTCCAATTACAATGATCATAGTACCTTGTGTGCAGGCACATTAGACTCTTTGAAGTTTCCTAGTATATGCGAAGGACTGTAATATCAAGTGTTGTCTGATTGTATGTCAAATATGTTGTATAACTGTACTACCATGGAGAGCAGATAGTTGATGCAGGTGTAGCAAATGCATTGATGAAATTGAGCTTAAAGCTTAATTTTCGCAGTCATTAAAATGAGGGCTAACCGCCTAATGTTGCGACTGAAAGCTAAAGATCTTTTGCCTTCTTGTTTTTGACATCTCTATAACTTGTTGATCTGATTGATCTACCACATTTGTGAACGCTTCTAAAGTGATGTAAGCATTTTGCAGATATGGCAGTGCCAAAAGTGCAAAATTTATCAACAGGCAGTAGGATGTCTTTTGCTTCTGTTAGCATCGGAGAAGAAAAGCCCTTTGATTTCATTCAGACATTGATAGGTATTTTCTAAGATTCTGACATATTCTTCTTTGATTGACAAAAGTGAAAACTTGTGTTCTTGTCAGAAACTTTAAGGAGCCTGAATCACATGTTTGTATCACCGAATGCACTGGAGGTTGTTGGTCACATCTTCCTGTACCAAATCTCATGGGAGAGAAGAACTTTAAGTAGCCATGACTGTGAACTTTTCGAACTGATTTTTTAGTGTTATCTCTGAAATAGTATCAAGATAGTTCTTATATCAACTTTGCATCTACTTGGACATGCTTCCCTCTTCCCCCACCCCCCTAAATGCTGAGTGTTTCAGATACTAGTTTAGGTGTTCATATCTTATGCCTTTGCTTGTTGACAATTTGCTTTTGAGTAAGTTGAACTGTCTAAAGTTAAATTACTTCTGCTCTGATTTGCCTGTTTTGGTAGATGGCATTATTGCAGGAGGTACTGCTGGTGTCGTTGTGGAGACTGCTTTATACCCAATTGATACAATAAAGACTCGATTGCAGGCAGGTCGAATATAATTTTATTTTTTTTGCCTTTTGTGTTAATCTTAGGTTGTAGCATGTTCATCGCAATAAGCATGTCTGCATATGCTATTTTGTTTCTTTTTTCATTATTTTTTTTTGGTCAATACCAGTAAAACTTAATCTGAAGCAAAGACTTCGATTTTATAATAGGTAGCACGTGGTGGAGGGCAAATTGTCTTGAAGGGCCTTTATTCTGGATTAGCTGGAAATCTTGCGGGAGTCCTTCCGTACGAATCTTTTTATGCCTGATTAAGTTAACAGTAACAATGAATGACTTCTGCTTCACTTATTTGTTTATTTTTATATCTATAGCAGTTGAGATGAAATTCTATCCTTTTTACAAACATATACAATAAAAGATATTTCTTGCAATGACACACCATACTATTACTTCTGAAGTGATAACCATTGGTTTTCTAACCCATATTGCATGCACACTCAACCTCGGAAAGCAGTTTCATGATTTATCTATGTCTACTGTCTTAATGATGTAATCCTACTTATGTCTGTGATTATGGTTCCACCTTCTTGATTTCTTAATCTCTTTTATGAAGATAGAAAATTATGGTTCTGGGGTAATACACTGTCATGATTCAGCACACTGTGGTCATGGTTTGTATATTATATGTATTATGCTCCTAAATCTTTTATAATTATAAGTGATTTATAGTCCTTTGTCATTGCAGAGCTTCTGCCGCATTTCTGGGTGTTTATGAACCAACAAAGCAAAAGTTGTTGAGGTTGTTACCTGAAAATCTAAGCGCAGTTGCACATTTGGTAGGAATCATACCTTTTGTTTTACTCTTTTGTACTTCTCAAGATGTCATTATTTGTAGTTTGCCTGTAATTATTTTGTTTTGGTACTATTGAAGTAGAACTCAACTGTGATATAGTGCTACTCAACTTAAATCCAAGTTACAACTATTCCATAGAACTCTGTGTATTTAGATAAAGCGGAAAAGTTTATTACCATCTAGTGATTAAAGATAAAGTGAATGGGGGTATTAATCTTTCCATAGTTCTCTATGTATCTAGGTTGTGAGAGATATGGCAGGTGGAATTTTTTTTTACTATATAGTGTTAAGAGTTAAGGGCCTACAGCTTAATTTAAAATCTAGTTGTGTTTGTTCAGTACACATGTTATGTGTGCAGGAGAAGGTGGGGCATCTTTAGCTTATTATGTTGTGAGAAGCTACATCATTAGCTCTGGCTTGTGGCATTATTGAATTTTAATTTGACTGTGGTACTGCTTTTAGTGAAAGAAAGCTTCTTGGTTTCTTTTCATCCAAAAGTTTCATGAGGTTTACCACCGTGTTCTTTGGGCAGGGTATGACCTTGACTCCATAGTCTTATATGTTTCCTGTAATGGTTAAGTTCAGAAGTTTTTTCTTCACCAATGCCATGTTTTCATTTTTTGTAAATTTGCTATTTATTTTTCACCAAGGGAGAATGAACATGTCTGTGCTGTATATTCAGCTGGTCATTCAACACTTCATTGCAGATTTCCTTGCCTAATTAGTGTTCTATGTTTAGCTTATGTTTTCTCCCTCATCTCTTTATCTATGTCTTTATGTTTTGTCAATTCTGTGCAGACTGCAGGTGCTGTTGGTGGAGTTGCCGCTTCTCTAATTCGTGTTCCCACTGAAGTAATTATCTTCATTTTTTGTAGAAGTATAATGTTCTGAAATATTGTTCTGTGCTATATTAAATGCTACTCTGTTGCAGGTTGTTAAGCAGAGGATGCAAACAGGTCAATTTGCTTCAGCTCCTGATGCTGTGCGTCTAATTGTTGCTAAGGAAGGATTTAAAGGTCTATATGCGGTACTTAATGTTTACTTACCCTCTTTGTAAATCCATCGAAGTCCATATGCGGCACTTAATGATTTTACCCTCTTTGCAAATGCATTGAAGGTTATATGCGGTACTTAATGTTTTTAGTTATCCAATTCAGCAGTTCTTACCAGTGTTTATCTTTCTTGTATTTGTAAAGTTTGTTACAAATTCATTATTATACTTTGGAATCTGGCGAGCATCTTTGAAATACTTCTTTTTTTGGGTGCACATTGCAGGGATACCGATCATTTCTGCTTCGAGATTTGCCCTTCGATGCTTTACAGTTCTGCCTCTATGAACAGCTTCGAATTGGTTACAAACTGGCAGTGAGTCTTCTTGCTCTTGCTCAATTGTTTATGTTGGGCCATCTCTATGAAGTTGCTGTAATCTATTGTAAAGGCTGCAAGTGTGCAAATTAAGTTGCACCCACAGATGATTATGAAGCAGAAACAATGGTTCTTTACAAAACACAAACAGGAACCAAGCCATTTACAATCCCCAAGTAGCTACTATATACTAAAAAGCGTTCCTAAACAACTTTATGTGTCATGTGGCATTTCTCCTCATTTAATCGAGTGTTTTATTTCTTATGTTTAAAAAGCATGGATTTTACAATATTTGAACCATCAAGCTCAAATTCAAAATGTAAAGTGTTAGCCACTAAGCTATTGTCATATTACATGTTATCATATCAAAATTAAACATAAATAAAGATCTGAATCATGACATTAATGTGATGACTCGATGCATCGCCCAGGCGCAAAAGCTAGTTGAGATTTAAAGCAGATAGATTGGCCACAATTACAGAACTGAATTGCTGGGCCTTTAATAAGTTGTCGTTTCTTGCAGGTCGGGTTAATTGTTTAATGTGTACTTACTTTTCAGTTTCCTCAAATAATTTTGTTTATGCTAAGATCCAATTAGTTTAGCCACGTGTTATATGTGGAGTATAAAACTCAGAGTACTATGTCTTATTGCTGTAATGAACCTAAAGAACTTACAGTAATATATATAAGCCTTTTCATGTTGTAAGTAATCATCTACGGGGAAGATCGTGCCTTGGTGCAGTGGTCAAGTGTCTACTTGCTATCTGAAAGGTCAATATTTTGATCCCTGGAAACAAACAGCCTCTTTATGAAAATAAGGATAAGGTTGCATACATCTGGACCTACCCTAGCGAGAGCCTTGTGCACTGGATACTACCTTTAAGGAATTATCTGTAGGGTGCATATATGTACTGAAGAACTCATTTTTCCTATCATTACTTCATAATTTTCCTGTCCCAACTACTTTAGCAATGATACACGCATGAGTCTTTGTTATATGCCCATGTCCCTTAGTTGATGAAAAGGAGAAAGGAGACATTATATCCTAGTACTTTGTATGCTTTTCTTCATGTGTAAATTCATACTAATATATGCTTATCTTGAACCTCCATATATTTCAGGCCAAAAGAGAACTGAATGATCCTGAGAATGCTGTTATTGGTGCTTTTGCTGGTAATAACAAATACAATTTGCTTGCTCATTGAGTAACATATAGGCGCATGCATAATCCTATTTTTATCATACGTTTGTTAACGTGGCTTTTCTAGTAATTAGAATAGGCAGTATGGTTCCTGCTGTTTGTGTGGTAATGTGGAGATTGCAGGTCTCTGTAGATGCTTTTTGTGCTGTTTGCATCTTTGAGCTTGCTAACTGAGATGAATGATTAGAAACTGAAGAAGAGCTAATTATGATTATTTTTCTCTTTTATAAAGCCTGAGATATTTATACCACACTTGTTGATTTTTAAATAAACCGATGAGAAACCTTGTAATAGGATAATGCTTGGAACATCAATTGCGTGGCCTGAGTTGGCTATTACAGATGCTGGCTAAAGCTTGACTATGCTAATTTCCATGATACTTGTTCATCCAACATTGTCTAGTTGAATGCCTGAACATAACATTCTAATTTCGTATGATTCTTTATGGAAGAAAATTACGACAGGGGCAAACTTGCTTATAGGAATAAGACTTGCGAATCTTGCCATTAAATTCATGCATAACATATAACATATCCTCTATTACTGTATTATGTTAACAGTTATAAATTTCCTTTTCTTGTGAGTTCCAGTATTCGGAGGAACATCTATGTGATATTCTGTAAACTTATGAAACTTTAAGAGAATTTGAGGTGTAATTTCTGTACAGATGCAACTGAAGACAATCTGATTTTATTTCAGACAATTTGGTGCTTACCTTGGCCTTTTGTAATAACAGTTAGAAGTCTTCTTGCATGAGCATGATTTGAAATTGGCATATTAAAAGCTATCATTGGCATGTATTGTTATGGGTTTTATATCAGTCTTTATCAAAATTTTCAGGTGCTTTAACTGGTGCTATTACTACCCCTCTTGATGTTATTAAGACTAGGCTAATGACCCAGGTATCGTATTGTTCTTATTCTGATTTGTATGGCTCTTCAATTTTTGTTTCATTTTCTTTGCTTGTTGCATGGTCTCTCATAGTAACTGTTGGCATTATAATTTTGCTCCACAGGGATCTGCAAATCAGTACAATGGCATAGTCGATTGTGTCAAGACTATTGTTAGGGAAGAGGGAGCCCCTGCCCTTCTAAAGGTAATAGTGTTGTAAATGCTATTTTGTGGGTCAAAGATGGTTTTATACTTTTTAGTTTATACTATATAATGATGTGGCAGTGTGACCGCATATCTGTTTGAAATTCCAAATAGATACAAGACTACAAATAACACTATTTAAAAGATGCAGTTTTTTTTTTTTTTTTGAAGATTTAATTGAGTTACTTAAATATTTATTCTTAAATATGTCAAGTCACCATTTCTGCTCCATCTTCCTCAACGTGTGGCCGTGTAGGAACTAGGAAGTGCAAATTAAAAAGTTGGAACTGTTAGACCAAGATCTTATTCCCTTAAACTTGTTTTCTTTGGCAAGCATCTTAACCACTTGGGAGTTGGTTTTTGAGAAGGAATTGTGGAACTTATTTTTAGTAGTGCTGGTAATAACTTTCTGCTAGTTTGCTCAGGCTAAAGCATGTCACCAAGAGTTTTTATGACATGGGCTCTAATGTCAGTTATTAATCTGCAAAATTCACTTCTGACATGAATTTTCTTTTCGGTATATAGCCCGTAGTTCAGACAGGCCAAAAAGGCTAGTTGGAAGTAATATTACTGCTTCGTAATAAAAATAATGAGTTGGATTGTAGTTTGACCCCAAAATTTAATTGGAAAGCTTTAGCTGAAGTGTAACTATTACATTCAACCCTTATCGTATTGCAATGTGATCATTTTAATCTTGTGCTTCTTATACATCTATGGATAATATGATACAATTTTGTGCAGGGGGTTGGGCCGAGAGTTTTGTGGATTGGTATTGGCGGTTCTATATTCTTTGGTGTACTTGAAAGCACAAAGCGGTTTCTAGCAGAATCACGAACCAAACGAATTGAAAATCCAGTGAAAAAGCAGGATTGATGTCTTCTGTTTGCCTTGGAGGTGGATTGTGATCTGTATTTTTCATCATTGCTTTGTAGATCTTTGTCAAAAAATAGTACTGTAGTGAAATGCATAATGATCAGAGTTGTTTGTTGAGGCCTAAACTAGAAAATCTTCTCTTTTTCAATAATAGTTGCTAATTATACGTTAGTTCAATTACTCATTGACATTATGATACATACTTTTAGCAGTTATAAATTTTCAAAGGTTGACAATTCATATCAGCCTGTTAACCTAACTATACGTTTTAGCAATCAACTAAGCCAAATGCAACACATTTCGTTTCTAAACATCCATAATATAATATATTTACAATGTCTCCAATTATAAGGGAAGGTGACCAACCAAAACCCATAACTAAAATTAGTTGTTTCTCTTTCAACTTTCATCAGCAATCCAAACTATACTATCCTATAAATACCCATCATAGCTAATTACTATCTCACTACACCATAAGCATCAATTACCACTTACCAGTACAACTTTTCATAGCGATTTCGTTCTATCCTATTTTTCACTATGGCCAAGCAGTTCTTCCTTTTTTCTCTACTCTTTGCTCTGTTTCAGATGAGCTTTGCAGCTCGGCATCTATTACAAACACTTCCACCAATCCAACCATTGCCAAAGCCGAGCATTCCTCCAATGCCTACTATCCCAACTTTGCCCCAAACAGGATTGCCACCATTGCCAAATCCAAGCATTCCACCGATGCCATTTAACCCCTTGCCTGCAGTCCCAACTGCTGCTAACCTCCCACAGCCTGCAGCATTGCCACCACTTTCAGCTGCTGCCAGCCCTCTCCCAGCAATGCCTGCAGCGCAAACTCTTCCACAACCGACAGCATTGCCACCACTCTCAGCTACTAGTCCTCTCCCAGCAATGCCAACTACACCAACTCTACCACAGTCTACTACATTACCACCACTTCCAGCTGCCAATCCTCTCCCAACAATGCCCGCTGCACCAACTCTACCAAAGCCAACAAATGTGTCCCCATTGCCTGCTACCTTGCCACCATTGCCATCCATGCCTTCTGCACCTAAAATGGTGTTACCTCCTTTACCGGCTATGCCAACTACCATACCTACAATCCCAACCATGGCACCATCTCCATCCCAGTAATGAAAAGCATTGATCACTTCTCTATAAAGCATTTTCCACCATTTACTCCTCACTTGGGTGGACATCATATCTTAGTCTTCTGGTCTTAGGAGACAAAGGTTAATACTTGAAATTATAGCTTATTGTAATTCCTCTTTGTTTTGGGGAATATTTATTTTTTATTTACCACATTTTAATGCTGCTATATATCTATCTTTCCTACGAGTAATTATTTTTTTTGTTAAATATTAAATGCATTGTGTTGTGCTCTGTGTTTGAATAATAAAGGGTTGGGGAACCTCGACACAACCACAAGTTTGATGAGCGCAAATTATTTTCAAAGAACTAAGGCAAAAGTTATCTCAAATATAAGTTTTGGTCGAAGCATCTATATACATACATATGCTACCATGTAAATTTGGAAAACCCCTCTCAATTATGTTCTCTCACCTGTTTTTCCCTGCATCACCAATAATGCAAGACTTTTGTTTAATACTACCATGAGAAAACAAACCATGTAAGAGGCCAGAGAGAGCATTCTACAATTAACTTGGTAGTAACAGAAAACCATCAACTCATGTCATGGAATGTGACCTAAAAATATGATGGTATAATATTAGCGCTTTGTTGTTTATAATCGAAGTCTGGCTACATGTAACATGTTGAATAGGGAGGGACTCCTTTTGCACATGCCCCCTCCATTTCCTCCTTTCAGGTTCGTTGTTTACAATTGCAGAGCTGATGTCAAATATCCGATTGATGTTGATAAAGGTTATGTTTTCGTGTATAATCTATTACTTCATCAGCTGTTAGGTACTTCACTGACAACCCTCTTGCGATGCAGTCCCTGAAAGCACAACAAACATAGATATTGAAGCCCTTAGTTATAAATTTCTTCCATGAGTCAGTGAGACAGTGACTATCTCACCTTATTCGAGTTGAACTAATTTTGTTTGAGATGGGTTCATCCACAATCTTAATATTATTCTGCAGAAAAAAGATTTAAAAAAAGGAATAAAAAATCACAGCTCATGAATGCAAAAAGCTCATCTAACAAGACAATTAGAAAGCTAATTGCCCGTTGCAGTTGAGAGGTCATCCTTCTCCCTCATATCCCCCATTATATCTTCTACAGCCATAGGAAAATTATTGGGGTCTAACTGTCTAGGGCAATGACACTTTCATGTTAACAAAAATAAAACCTCAATATTATTTGCCAATGTTTGTCAAGAGAATTACAGGAGTCCCATGGGGTTTCTAGTGCTAAAAATTGCAATGTTACAGAGAAGGCCAATATTACAAGTTAGCTCATTTGTTCTATCTCTATTGACTTAATGGACATATTGTACTTTTATGTCCTAACTATTCAAACATATAAAAGGATATCTCAACATCACACATCTCCATCAGAGGATGCATGGAAAGAAAATGCTCAAAGACCGGATATTTAAGCATTACAAAAATAGCTAGCAGCATATTACCTCCCACGCATCTACCATAATAAAGTCTGAACTTTTGCAGGCTAGTTGACACATTTGTATACGATGTTCAGCAGATAAAAGGCCCTACAGAAAAACAAGCACTATCTCACTTCATAATTGGAAAATTTGCAAATTGCAGTCATTTAAAGTTCGTATTTTGCAAATTGCAGCCATTTAAATTTTTTTTTGCAAATTGCAGCCCAAAAGTTCGTATAAATTGTAAATTACAGCCCGATTCAATTTTTTTATCGGTTTACATGTTGAAAAATTTTCGGTTAAGGTTTTAGGTAGAGGTGAAAGTTCGGTTTACGGTTTGGATTATATCCAAAACCGAATCCAATCCGAATTAATTCGGTTTTGGAAATCTCAATCCGAATCCAATCCAAACCGAATTAATTCGGTTTTTCAAATCAGAATCCAATCCAAACCGAAATTTGTTCCCTTCTTTTGCAACATTCAAATCCGAAACTCGAACTTTACCCTGAAAATTCCTACAATCATTTCTTGTTTACTACATTCTTTGTGAGAGAGTAAGATATTGAGAAAGGAGAATTGAAAATTAGGTTCTTTTTTTTAAGTTTATATATGAAAGGGGAAAGTGGTTGGATACTTTGAAAAAGAAAATGGGCTTAAAGTATTGGATCAAAATTCGGTTTGTAATTCGGTTTTCGGTTTTTTTTAAACCCCAAACCGAATCCAATCCGTAATCCATATTTTTTAATTTTTCTAATCTGATCCAATCCGAATTAAAAAAAATCCAAACCAAATTACTAATTCGGTTTGGTTTTCGGTTCGGTTCGGTTTTAATCCGAATTACTTTCACCCCTTGTTTTAGGGGGTCATTTTAGTCCTTAGGGAACCGAATTAAGCTCAGAATTAACAAAAAAATAACGTAAGTGTCTCATATTTACAGTTTCCCACAAATCGATACATTTTTATTACACAAAACGAGATACTTGCGTTATTTTGTGGTTTTGATCCTAGAAAAATTGGAATGAAGGAAATGAAGTAATCAATGTGCAAGGCTCAAGTACTACTATCTACTTTTATATTTTCGCCTAAACTTTTACAAAGTATTCTTCATGCTTTATTCGGTTTTTTATTAGCCCCGTGATTGTTATTAAAAGTGACAGATCAAGTGTAAATATATTGTGTTTTATTCGACATTGCACTTTTGTTAAATTTAGGTTCATTAAAGAGTGGTGCTCGTTTTCCTGGCATGATTGAAGAGAATGTCGATGATGGAGGTGATCTAATGTAGGAGTAATGGTCTCAATCCGTTACGTACATCTATGATTAGGGCATGATTGAAGAGAATGTCGATGATCATAGATGTTAGTCTTTGTAAAAATAAAATGGTCTCATTCCTAATTAGTCTCAAACATCTATGATCTGAGATAAGTAATCAACATACCAAATTAGACAACACTTTGTTGGTTTTGTCCTCTAAATATATGATTACTTTCAAATGTGATGTATGTGTTAAATACCATCCATATAGTGTAACCATTTGTGGAGTTTGATATAAAACAATTTTTAACATCGGGTCGGGCTTTGCCTAAAAAATTCAACCCATTTTGGGCATATTAAGAAGCCCAAATAAAATAATTTGTATATTTCATCTAAAAATATGTATATTATGTACTATCATTTTTTACAAGTGTTTTCAAACAGAAATCCTAAATTCATGTCTCACAGGTCTCACATTCTTCATTGCTCTTCTATAACTTTCAGCCTCCATCCTCATCTCCTTGTCTCCAGTGAGATGATTTCCAATTCCAATTGGTCCTATTAATAATAATCCTCAATTAGTTTCTCTAGTTTTAGCCGATACTTTCATAATAAACCAACCTAATTCGTTTTTGTGTCAACCAAACAACTACGACAAAAACATGGGAGTGAAAGGATTAATAGAGGGTGGAATCCCATCCATTATCGCTGGATGCTCAACCCACCTTCTTGACTTTATCAAAGTCTGAATCCAACTCCAAGGCGAACCCAGTCTGGCACCCACCACCCTCTCTCCCGCTCTCGCCTTCCACCGTCTTTCTCGCCCCACACAATCACCCTCCCCACCCAACCCCCCACCCCCTCGTGTCGGTCCCATTGACGTCGGTGTCCGTATCATCCAACAAGAAGGCATCACCGCCATGTTTTCCGGCGTCTCTACCACCATACTCTGACAAACCCTCTACTCTACCCTCTACAAATTGTACATAGTATACATAATGACTTATAATATGGCACATAGTACTACAAGGTGTCGATAACTAAGCTGTAAATTAAAGGAGCTAGAACAAAAGTTAAGGTTATACTACTATACAGTGAAATTGACAAAATTCACATTTACCATTAACTTAACTGTGTCACAAAAGCTCAAACCTGAATAAAACATTTGAGCTTAATTTTGCTGTGCTCATAACTAGCAAAGCACCAAGTGTGGAACTCACAAAAGATATGTAGCTAAAAACTGGATTAAGTTATTGTTAATGTACACTCCCATTGAAATGTACGGGAGATACCTAACAATCTAACATATACAAAGTATATACCTATAGGCTATAGCAGAACTTCTCTAATACTTCATCGTCCTTCTTTCCTGTGATTACTATCTGTTCCCCAGCATTTAAAACTCAAAAATGATGGACCTAAATTCCAGAGTAAGGTCTCTCCAAGAACCATTTAAGCTTAACGACCAAAAACACTGCCTCTCCCAAACAAATAATCAGAGTATTCATCCGCACTAGCAGAATCTTTGGTGCTTGGTGTACTACATGTGCCTTCTTCCGAACAGCTGAACAAGGAAGATACCTCACTTGATGAGTCTACCCTCGGAATGCTTTCAACAGAGTGAGTAACCCACTCCTCTACATATGAAGAAGGGTCTTTTGCATAACCGTTTCTACTTGACTGATGCTGCATCACCCAAGGATCAACACTAACATCAGATCTTTTATGCCCGACCTTGGACAATACGTCTTTTTCACCGTAACCAGATTCAAAAATCATGCCATCAAAAAATTCCCTCCTTGATGCTAGGGATCTTGGAGTATCCCTGCAGTAAAAAAGTTTTATAATCAATAGTGATCCAAAAAGCATTGAGATATTTTCTCCCAAAAACAGTTCACTACAAAAACTGTAGACGCTTGAACTTCCATTAAATAAACACCATACTTTCATATACAACCAATTAGAGGTATTCCAAGAGAGAAGTAGGGAACCATAAGCATGTAACAGGTAAATCCTAGTTATAAATGACCAATATCTAGATATATTTCGTTGAGGTTTGTCCTTTTCCTCTTACATATATAAGCTCTTCAGTAAAATCATACTTCATATTAACATGGAAGGATGCAGAAAGAAGCCAAAATATAATACATGTCTTCAGTTCAGTAACATCTTGGCACCCAAAGTACCATCATCTCTCCCCAACCACATGCGCCCAAAAAGAAAAAGGAGTTCCTAGCATACCTCATGCCTCATTCTGTAATGCTTGTAATTTGGAGCAGTACTACAATATTGTACCCACTTCAAAGAACTCATCTATAGTCGTTTGACACTGATTCGTTACCAAACTGAGCATATATAGATCACTCAACTTCTCCATG